CATTAGGAGGCCATAAGACGATCGTGCAGCTACTTCTCGACAAGGGCGCCGACGTTAACGCACAAGGCGGACACTTCGGTAATGCTTTACAAGCGGCGTCAGAAAGAGGCCACGAGGCGATCGCCCAGTTACTTCTCGACAAGGGCGCCGACGTGAACGCACAAGGCGGACACTTCGGTAATGCTTTACAGGCGGCGTCAGAAAGAGGCCATAAGACGATCGTGCAGCTACTTCTCAACAAGGGCGCCGACGTGAACGCACAAGGCGGATACTTCCGTAACGCTTTACAAGCGGCGTTAGAAAGAGGCCACGAGGCGATCGTGCAGCTACTTCTCGACAAGGGCGCCGACGTTAACGCACAAGGCGGAGTATACGGCAATAATTTACAAGCGGCGTCATCAAAAGGCCACGAGACGATCGTGCAGCTACTTCTCGACAAGGGCGCCGACGTTAATGCACAAGGCGGACACTTCGGTAACGCTTTACAAGCGGCGTCATTAGGAGGCCATAAGACGATCGTGCAGCTACTTCTCGACAAGGGCGCCGACGTTAACGCACAAGGCGGACACTTCCGTAACGCTTTACAAGCGGCGTCCTTAGGAGGCCATGAGGTGATCGTGCAGCTACTTCTCGACAAGGGCGCCGAAGCTACGCCGGGAAAGGTAGGCCATAATCGGTCAAACGGTGAAGGCATTGGCACAAAGGACGTATAGATGCAGGACAGTCCCAATTCTTGGATTTTTACATCGGATAATTCTTTGGAGAAAAACCGCAAGTTGGTGGGTATTTAAGAACCGCTTAGGCACATGTATCAGACCAATGGCCCAGCTGCTCTCCACCCTGCCTGATGAACGGGTCAAACGTGCCCGCAATAGCATGGAGGCTTCTGATGGCGAGACACTCGCGTCAACTGCGTATCACACGAGCGTGCGTTGCTCTGGTATTTGAGTCAAGTCGCGCGCACGGGTCTTCAAAGGCGAGTTCAGCCTCGGGGCACATCAAGACCCGCAGTTTTACGAGTGCCGACGCGTGATCACACGCGGAAAGTTGGTGAGTCCTCGGGCACGTGTTATAAGTCTACTACAAAGATAGAAGACAGGATTAATTAACACGCGAAAATATCACGGTACGTGCAGTACGCACGCACGTGACGTCCTGATAAATGAGCGCCAACGGACAGGACATGTTCCACCAGCAAGGATCCTTTTCCGCTTGAGAGAGATCAACATGTACCTTGTCAACCCAAAGGCACGTACATGCGTGTTCGAGGAGTTGAGAGATTACCGCGCTCCTCCCGCGGCCTCTTTTCATAGCTGAGGGAATATCTAATTCCTCGTCAATAATGTAAGGTTAATCGTCAACTTCCTTCCGTCTTCTCCTAGCAGTGTCTATTTCAGGATATGTTGTGGGCAAGAACTTTTGCTAGACTTGGTAATGGTATGACCGGGAGAAGAAACGATAAATTCATAGTCCTCGGAAATAGCCACCAGCTGGGACTGTATGCTAAAACCATAGTGGCGAGAAGTACTCCTCGAGCAGAGATCATTCGTGAAAAGCTTGAAACTTGATGCAGAGAGGGAAAGCATTGATTTTGTTAGGCAGTACGGATAGCCCTCACCAGTTTCCACGCTCTTCCAAGGGTTTAGTGGGGCCAGTAGCCCCACTAAACGCGCGACCTAGACAGGAGAGAGAATAGCCCCGACATGCAAGGTTAGCGGTCAGGCGCCGATAGATGGGAATAACGAGGATAGGTTAGGGAGAAGATATGCCGGAGCAGCAAAAGGCTCCTTATATACGTGTGATAGTGATAAGTATCGGAATCGAGCCTAGAGCAATTTAGGTGGTTGATGCGTGTTTTACAAGGGTGTGATTAGATGTCATAGGGGTGAATGTAGTAAGCCAGTACACAGGCGGCAGCTTGAATTGTCGCTCTACCTCACACGAGTTCGATCTATCCCTTTGCGCACTGTAAGACTCCACTGCGTCCAGAAATAGCCGTTCTCTCAATTTGTTGTATTGCAGGAAAGCGGACACTCATTTTGGACCATCGCTCATCCAAAGCGGGGAGCGACAGCCATAGGGTGCGATTGACGAGTTGTGCATCGATTGCCCATTATAGCATAGTCAGCACCCCCAGTGCACTTGATCCGGTCCACGGCGGGCTTTGATTCGTCAAGCATCGGTGCCAGCCCCATTATGGATCTCCCCACACACTCGCCCACACCTTAATTAGGTGCGACGCAGCCGGACGACTCGACGTTCATAATGGGACGATTTTCATCAGCGACATCGCACACCAAGCTTTCGACCTACCAAGTTAGTCTTCACAACGCCCAGGCAGAGAGACCCAGAAACTCTAGGAGTATCCTTGTCCTCGTCGCAGGTAGCCGGCCACCCAGGACCCCATGGCGTTCCGGGACCAAGACCCGTTCAACATGCTAGAGTTTGACCCTACTGCATTCGACCCTACAGCGCTCGACCTCACTCAAGCCGAGTTCCCTTCAACAAATCATGCAGCCGATGATCAGGATTTCGCGTTTGATCAGCCATTCTCCGGCGCCATGCAGCACGGTTTCGATGGAACCCTACCGTTCTTCGACCCGACCCTGAGCCTAGACGCGTTCAGCGCCATTCAGAACCAGCTGCCATGGCCTGACAACACGATGCTGGACATGAGTTCGCAGTCGGCTACACCAGGATCGCTGCGGACAGACAGCCGACCGGAAACACCAGGTCTTCCAGCTGCCCATGCATCCTCCTCCTCAGCTCTGCCACCAAAGGTGGGCACGCGGTTCTCACGAGAGTCTCTCAAGATTCTACGCAACTGGCTCAGCACTCACTCACGACACCCTTTCCCGACTGATGAGGAGCGCGACATCCTGGAACGACAGACAGGCTTGAACAAAACGCAGATTCTCAACTGGCTTGCAAATGCACGGCGTAGGGGCAAAGTACCCGAGTACAAGACCGCATCGCCACGCACCGAGAGCCCAGGTGGCAAAGAGATTCCTAACAGGAGGAGGGCTGGCACGCCGGCGCCAACATCAAGAACACCGTTCATGAATCCACTGGAGAGGTGGGTCGACTCCCCTCCGGAACACGAGCCAGCGAATCCGGATGCCATTGCATTAGCACTTGCGTCGTCATCCCCTCTACCCAAACGCGACTCATACCACCATACGCCAGCGGACACATTCTCTGGCAGCTCACACTGTCGACCATCTCCTGCGAGTAGCAACGGCACGTCCCACTCCAGCAGCTCAGCCTATTCTCACGAGAGCCGAGACTCGACAGGTTCCCTCAGTCTCTTTTCAAATCGGCGGCAGCGACGGAAGAGGCGCGGCGCACGCCAGCACAGCAGTAACAAGACACCGCTCACAGCTCCCACAAACACGTTCCAATGCACCTTTTGCACCGAGACTTTTAGTACGAAACACACCTGGCAGCGCCATGAGAAGTCCCTTCACCTTGCACTCGACCGTTGGGTCTGTGCACCCCACGGCCCTACTTTATCTAACAATGACGGGACGCAGAGTTGTGTCTTCTGTGGCGAGTTGGACCCGGGCATCGAGCACATGCAGAATCATAATTACACCATCTGCCAAGGCCGACCCCTTGACGAACGCACCTTTCACCGGAAAGACCACTTGGGTCAGCATTTGCGGCTTGTGCACAACCTGAAACCGGCGCAGCTTGTCCGGCAGTTAAGCGAGTGGAAGATGGAGAGCCCCGACGTGAGATCGACATGTGGCTTCTGTGGTCTGGAAATGACCACGTTTGCGGCGAGGGCGGACCACCTGGCTGAACACTTCAAGATGGGCACCACCATGGCTAACTGGAAGGGCGACTGGGGCCTAGATCCGCACATCCTCTCCAGGCTGGAGAACGCAATGGCACCCTACCTCATTGCTCTCGAGAGAAACTCGCCCTATCCCTTCAGCGCCTGTAATGCGCCACTCGAATCTCCAATCAATGCGTACGAGCTGATTAAGCTTGAGCTGATGAATTTCATCGACATTTGCTACGACAAAACGGGCAGGATCCCCAGCCCAGCAGAGTTACAATCCGACGCGTGTCGCATCATCTTCGCAGCAGAGGTGCCCTCATACCATGGCGACGAATGCTCCTCGTGGCTGCGGGATCTGATTCTTTCGGCCGACGACATTGTCCAAAAGGCAAAGCTCAGTCCCCTGCGCTCCGCCAAGGAGAGCCGCTTAACATTCCTCCACATCATCGGCAAAAAGAGCCCCTTTGAATCTTGTCCTCTAGAGGCCCAGCTACTAGACTTCGTGCAGTCTCAGCCTCCTGAATCTCTCACAGAGTCTCGAGTGCACCGACAGGCCGTTGATATTCTTCGAAAAATGGAGAGCGCCTCTTCATCACCGTCAGACATTGCCACCACGTGGCTCCTGGAGCTGGCACGGTCGTCCAAGAGTTGGCTGAAGCGCTTCCAACTCCGGGCGGGGGTGAATCTGTCCGAGACGGCGCAGTTTGAAGTAACGCCCACTCCTATCGATCAGGTCTTGCAAAACTACGAACAGCTGGAAAGCAAATTGGCTGAGAGGGTGGAGTTGCTCCGACAGCACGGGATCGAGCCCGACGACACAGCACTGCGGCAGCAGGCCCTCAAGATCATTGATGAATTTGACAATGCGGAATGGAGAACACTAGCGGCAAGCAATCACGGGTGGCTTGCACGATTCAAGAGGCGACATCTGCCTTGGGCGGATTCATATGGCTTCTATGCAAGGATCTCCGGGACGGCCAACCAAGTATCCTCGCACAACGACCAGACAATGTCCGACGGCAACAAGAGCCCGCACAGGCCTGGCCTCATCAAGATGAAGATAGGCGAGTACTACTTGAACGATCCCAACTTTGACAAGTGGGTGGCCCGGGAGCTGGCGAGGTGGGTAGCCGCGACCATGTCGCCCAACAACCCGAATCAGCATGTCCCCACGGACGAGGAGCTGAAGCACCAAGCAAGGTGGATCATGTACGAAGAGTGAGTGACTTGGTTTCTCTCGGAAAAGACGGCAAGCTAACAGCAACAGTGGCGATAGCTTCAACACGACCATGGCGGATAGTGACGAATGGCTACAACGCTTTAAGCGTGATGCCAAGATCCTCCACGACCAAGGACCGGGCCTTCTAACAGAGCTTCAGAACGTCTGACGGTCTTGGCTTCCACGTCACGTTCGAGAGACTCAGTGGTCGCTGCGCCAAGCCGATAGGGGGAATTGAGCAGATGGCCTCACAATCTTTGCAGCCTGCTATACACGGTGAAACGCAAAATAGTGAATTACTAAATTAATCAGCTAATCCATCTGATCCACTGTGGGCGTCCGCTTGCCTTCCTCCTCCTGAACTGGCTGAACCGCCTTGCCATCCTTCTCGCTCACGACGACCCTCCATCCAAGAGGGTCTCCCAACTTACCCAACTGAATACCCTTGAGCTGATTCAGCAGCTTCAAGCAGATCGCACCAGCTTCCTGCTGGTCATCGCTGAGGAACGTGACTGTCTCAGCGCCATCGGCCTCAACACTCACCCGCGGCGAGTCTTTCGGCAGACCCTGCCCAATGACAACTCGTCGCGTGATGCTGCGGATGGGAACGAGGGCGGCCGCCGTTCCAGCGGCCATGACCTCGGAGAAGCGTGACAGCTCGGGGTACTTGATACTCCTCTTCTCGACCTTCCACCCAAAGCTCTCGCCAATCTTCAGGATGGAATCGCTCGTGACGCTGTCGATGATGCAGCTCGAGTCCGGCACGACCAGGGTGACGTCCTCGCCGTCGACAATGGCACCAATGAAGCCACTTGTGCTGAACTCGTCCACCTCCTCGTGCTGCGCGCTGTCCAGGTGCAGGGTAATGCCAAAGCCCTCGCTGCGCGCCGTGTCGCTCCACCGCAGGACGGGGGCGTAGTTGCCGCCCACCTTGGCGTTGCCTGTGCCGTTGGGCGCCGCGCGGTCAAAGTCCTCGAGGATGAGCGCCTTGACGGGGTGTGTGCCGTGGTACACGCCGGTGGGGATGACAAAGACGCAGAATGTGTACTCCTCGGGCGGGCTGAGACCGAGCTGCGCGCTCGACCCATAGATCTGGGGGCGGATGTACATGGCGGCGCCCGTCTCGTGGGGGGGCACGTATTCGGCGTTGAGGGCGACGGCGGCGCGGCAGGCGTCGAGGAACATGTCGACGGGCACGCGGGGCATGGAGACGACGTCGGCCGAGTGCTGCATGCGCAGGGCGTTGCGATCGGGGCGGAAGATAGTGATGGCCTCGTCCGAGGGGGTGCGGAACGCCTTGAGGCCTTCGTAGGCTTGCTGGCCGTAGTTTAGAGCGGGCGCCATGCCGTGGATGCGCATGTAGGGCGACTCGACGAAGCGCAGGGGCGTCCATTGCTTTGTGTGCACCGAGTAGGTGGCTTCAATGTGGCCATTGACTGGGACTGTGTTAGCTGGGCTTGCTCGCAATGCAGCGTAGGAGACGATGTTCTCGGTGATCAGCACCTTCGCGAACCTTGAAGCCCACATTGGACCAGTCAATCGTGTTGACGGGAGGCGGCGGGAAGGCTGGCATGGTAGCAAGTTTGATGGGAGTATAGCTGTAGGTGAAACAGGCGGACAGGCGAGTGTGGTTCTGAATGAGATCCTACAAGGTCTTCTCGGTAAGAATGATAATGATAGGCGGCGTTGGAATAGGACAAAACTTGAGCTTCCGATGTCGGGAATATTCTCGTGCCGCCGCGTGCGTCAGTGATGGAGGGGCAGCGGATGTCTGGTGGAGGGGCACAATTGGACAGTACAGGAAAATCATGCTGAGCTAACTACCCCAAGTATAGGCAGCCTCACCTGAACCACTGCCCCTGCCGCAGAATTCAATTCTATAATAGATCAATTAATTCACTGTGATCTAGCGATTGCAGGCTTCGTGATGATAGTATTTACCTTTTATGCAAGGCGTGTGGCGGTTGTCACAAAGGCGCTGAAGTTCAAGATCAAGACAATGTTCAAATTTAATTAGTATGTAAAATGGAGGCTGTAAGTGAGGCTAGAAATAGCTGCAAATTTGATCACGAGCGCCGCGCCCGGGAGGTTGGCCTTACCTCTCGATGTGAACGGCGAAGTCGCGCCTCTTTATCAACGCTGGCCGCTGTAGGCGCCCTTGGCCTCTTCCTGACCCGACTGACTGTATCACCGGGGGCCTCATCGGCTGCCTGACTGACTGTCTTCTTAGGTGCACCAAGGCCGCCAAACAGGAAGAGGTCTGTATCATCTGACGCTTCGGACGGGGCCGTCTCACTGCGTGATCCTTCCGCCAGGTCCTGTGGGAAGGCTGTAAGGTTGGTCGGCTCGTAAGATGCTAGATTTGGCTCTGATTTGATCCGAACTGTAGCTGTTGTTGATTCTCTGTTAAACCGTTCATCTGGCGCCGTGGACTTAGCCTTCGACCGCGGCTTCCGTGGCTTTGGTGCGGGCTTTTTTAGGCTATCTTCGATGAATTGAAGCTCAATCCACACGACAACCCGGCTATCACTAACAGCCCACGGAAAATCGTTATCTTGGCCTAGTACATCCCAAAGGCTGTTATTCTTCAAGGAAACCGATATAAACCGCCCAGGCTCTTGTTTGCCGGTCTTCTGGAAGGACGTGCCGATATGTATCATCGATTCATCGAGCATTTCGAGGGCATCATGAAGTATGGAAGAATTGAGGTACGTGCTCAGAAAATCGGCCTTTGTGAGGAATCTAAGGTCGGCCCACGAGATCAGCGGCAGATCTATTCCACCTACGGCGAATTAGCTATATTTCAGAACGCCTAAATTAGCTCACCTAACAATAAAGAGCTCGAGGCATTGAAGATACCACCTTGGAGCCTGCGACCGGTGGAATGAACTAGCTGGACACGGATTTTGATGCCATAGGGATTTTCAAACGGCGAGACAGGCCTAGCCGGCCTTGTGGCGAGAACAGCCTGCATTGTGTGCCCTCGTAGGTTATTGAGGCGATCAGCAGGCGTTGAAGACGACAGGGATGATCGGGTAGCGCTTGTTCAGTAATGCCGTGACCTTCCGACGACACGTATCCGCTGATTGACGGCGGCCTGTATGTAATTGTAGGCGTTGGAGGGTCGCTGGACGTATTTAGGGCGTCGATTACGACTAGCTTAGGCCATCGCCGGCAACAGAAGGGGCAAAACAGCCCAACAGAGACAGCGCGGATCTTATCGTGTTTTTCGCGTCCTGGGTGCTTGTCGCAGAGCGTGTGAATCGACAGCGGTGGCTCGGGTATTTCTACCTTACCACTAAGAAGAACGTTAAAATATTTAACCGAAAGTAAGGGATTGAGTAGACTTGCCGTTTAATGTGATGCCGCCGGTTAGGAGGGAAGGAACGCAGGAAAGGGCCATATTGGCTGGTGTTGTGTAGTGTTATAGGGGGTGAATTGCGGTGGGTCTGGCAGTACAAGGATCACGCACCCAAATAGACCTGTCACGTATGGCTTCAAATACTACGCTATATAGCGATAAAAAATGAAGCTTTTCGCGATATAATCTATATTATCCCTTTCCTCGACAGCCTGGTTTATTTATGCCTGAATTTCAGGCGGCATCGCGTCACTACAGAGGCCTGGATCGTTAAGGCAGATTCTGCTGTAACAGACGCTAGTATTCGGCGCTACGAGTGTGAACTTGTGAAACACTCAAGATAGCCTGCGCGCCGGAATTTTAGAGTTTTTCGATTACCTCGCGAAGCTTCAAATGAAAGCTAGTAAACGGCCTTTTTGAGGTCATCCTCTTCTACTAGATTGGCCTCGAAGCCAAGCCCTTGGTATGCCAGATCTAACATTGGGCCGGTTCTTCGGGTTACGGATAATTGCCCTTCCATAGATTGACGAAGTCACCAAGTTCATCGCGGACTGTCTCGCCGTAGGTGGCGTAGACGGTCACCTGATCGACGAGGCTATCTTCGCGGAAGAGGCCATAGCCAATCGTCCTTGAAAAACATAGTCTTACATTGCTCTTAGTCTCGTTCTCCTGCGCTAATATACGATTGAATTGTATGCATTATTGACCGATTTCTAACGTACGTTGCAGACAAATGCCCTCCCAAAGACGATCGCCTCAGGCGCCGCCAGAAGAAGCAGCCAACTTTTGTAAACATGTCAAAACCCCTGAAACATGTTAGTGGGCTGCGTCGAATCCAATGGCAGGAATAAAACTTACCGCTCACACCTTGTGTAACCGTGGCTGTCGCCTCCGTGCTGCGGCTGCCCAGGTTGACAGTCACGGCATGCTGGACCGTCTTCTCGCCCAGGTAGTTCGCCCACTTGAACACCTTTTCATCCTCACGCCCATCACCGACGACCATCAGGAAATCAATCGGTGCATCGCCAGAAGCGCTCATATCTTCAAAAACCTTCTTCGCTGCTGTCTTCTTGGTCCAGTCAATCGGCTCCACCACAATCGATCGCTCCAGCGGGATAGCGTGCACACGCTGCGACTCACACGCGTCGTTCACATGACTGGCGCATTCAGAAGCTTGCCGCGCCGCCGCCTCAATGTCCTCAGCCCCGTGGTAGTGGAATTGGAAGCTGCAGTGTCGTTCTTCGATCTCGGCTCCCGGCGTCCTCTCAAGAAAGTAAGTGAAGATCGGCCTCACGGCCTCCTTCCACGTCTGAATCTGGGTTCGGTCGGCCATCTCCGTCCACTCATCGCTCTGGGCTGTTTTGACAAAGCATCCATTCTCCGCAATGAGGCCCAGATTGGGCACGCGTCGGAAGACTCGCTCCAATTCCTTCGGGCGACGCCCTGACATGACGTAGACCGTGTTGCGTTCGTCAAGCAGGAGATCGTTGAGAATGTCCAGAGTCCGTTGAGGGCTCACAGGAATGATCTGGCTGAGAGGGCCCCAGCTGACTAATGTACCCTCGTAGTCAAGCACAAACAGACGACGCCGCGACTGTTGATATTTTCCGACAACGTTTGGAATCGACAGGCGCGGCACGGACGTCTGGTCGCGCTTGTGCTGTCCGTTGTACGACGTCTCAAGGTGCGCTAGGAAGTCGGTGAACCAGTGGGATCCGGTATGTTGCGAGACAGCCCCATGCAGAAGCTCCCATCGGCGCTTCTTCTCCTCGGGGGACATCTCAAGAGCTTGGCGGATAGCTTCGGCGCATTGGCGATAGTCCCAAGGATTCACCGACAGCTCGTTCTTGTTGAAAAGCGAGGCGGTGCCAGCAAACTCCGAGAGGATCAACGAGCCGTGCTTCTTCTCCGGCAACAGGCTGCCGTCCTGGCAAAACAGATACTCATGCGATGTCAGATTCATACCCTCACGCTGACTGGTGATCATGAGCGCATCGGCAATCGTCAGCAGAGCCAGGTATTGCGCGTAGTCAATGTCTTGCTTGAGGTAGACCACGGGCTGATATGCGAGGTTTGCCCACGACGAGTTGACGCGTGTCACAATATCCGAGACGGTGGCGTCCAGGTCGCTCTTTTCGCTCGTCGAGAGAGCCACCTGGATCAGGACGGTATGGCCCCGCCACTCGGGATGCTTGTTGAGGAACAGCTCATACGACAGAAGCTTCTGGCGCACGCCCCTAACGTGATCCAGCTTGTCTCGTGCCACAATGAGCCTCTTTCCCTTGTAACGCTCCTGCATGATCTTGAGCCACTTGATGACATTCTCCTCATCGCGATGCTTGCCCAAGCTCACGGGATCGATGCCAATAGCCATGTCTGTCACATCAACGAACCGGTCCTCCAACTCGATGCCTTCTGTTGTGGCCTCCACGTTGAGGATGCGGCTGCACGTCTGCAGAAAATGCCTTGTGTATTCGGGGATCTGGAAACCGACGAGATTGGCGCCCAGCATGCCTTCCAGCAGCTCCTTGCGCACGGCAAGGCACCGAAAGACCTCGGATGATGGGAAGGCGACGTGCAAGAAGAATCCAATCTTGGCCTCGGGGAGTTTCTGACGCACCATGCCTGGGACGAGGAGCAGGTGGTAGTCATGCACCCAGACGACGTCGCCACGTTTCCAGTTCTTGACGATCTTGTCGGCAAAGGCCTGGCACACGTTGACGTAGTATTTCCACGAGTGGTCTTCGTATGCTTTGCTCTTGGGGTTGTCGGGGATCTGGTAGTGGAAGACGGGCCACAAGATCTGCTTGCAAAAGTGCGCATAGTGTCCATCAAAGTCCTTGTCCGAGCAGAAGACGGTCAGCATGTCGTGCTCAGTCGCCATGGTGTCCTCGATATCCTGCTTCTGCTGCGTACCGTCAAGTGCATCAGTCGGCATGCCCAGAGTGCCAACCCAGGTGTATTCTGACAGCTTGCCCTCCCGCGCCGCCGCATCGGCAGCATTACGCAAGCCTCCGTTGCCCTGGTCAGCATCAACTACTTTCCATCCGGCAGATGCAAAGACACGATCGTGACTTTCGCTGCGGACCAGTGGCTTCGGTTGAATCACGCCTTGGCGTCCCAGCTCGCGCGCCTTCTCGACGGTGCGCCCATGCTCGGCGATGGCAGCTGGAGGCGGCGAGTTCGCGCGCGACTTTGGTTGGTTGAAACGGCCGCCCCAGGATGAAGAGATCTTGTCAGAGGGAGACCCAAGATCATTGGGGAACTGTACGCGGATGCCATCCTCGTTGGCAAATGGATCGGGCTGCTCTTCTTCGTACGTCGGCGTCTGGGGAGGTGTGATATCGGGGCGCGGCGTGAAGAGACTTGGTGTTGGATCGATGGTGACTTTCGGCTTCACTTTGGTTGTAGTCGGCGCTTTTGCTGTTGGTCGCTCGAGCCCAGATGAAGTCCGTCGAGGCTGGCCTGGGAGGTTGAAATGAACGGTTTTGGGAAGGAAGCTGCCGCGATCTTGTTAGCCAACGTGATCCGGACAGCTTACGCGAGCTTTGCCCATGGCACAGCTTACAGAGAGCAGATGAACACGGTCATAGTGACTTGGGATGGCCGCAGAGCAGACGGCGAAACTGAGTACTCAGCGTTGCGCTTTCAACTTCTAGATCACACTCGTCGGGGAAGGTTGACGATGGAGGGGTACGTGGGATACGTCTGATCCTGCGCAGGCGGGACAGCTCGAACACAGCACGTGGACGGCTTGATTGATTATTGGCAAAATGCAACTGTCGAAAATGGGATCCTCACGATGGAACATGGAACGACAATTGAGCCTATTATGCGTTGATTCCGAAAAATTCCATCGAAGCTTGTTGGAGGGGCATCTTCCCTGATTGACCTCTGACGTAATGAGGCCACGCACGAGTACAGAGAGCCACGTAGGAGATTGAGCGCAGAAAATGTACCTATTGCTTGATGCTACAGGCCCGCCTTGCTGGATCTTCGATTGCTGAAAGGCCCGGAGCGCGACCTCCTCCAGGCGCGTAGATTGTCCATGGAGTGGTCTGGGCCCGAGGAGGGAAAGGTCCGCTCCCCGTGGATGTCTCCAACTTGAATCCGCCATTTATGGGGCTGGTGTTCTCATTAGGTACCTGTGCACCTTGCTTGGGATCTTTACTTGTTGAGAACTTTATAAAGACGAGCTGATCTTTACACGCTTCAGCTACGCTCAGCGAGCAGGCCAAGCTATTCTTGTGTCAGGCGGCCGGTTTTGTGGAAAGGAAAGGCACGGTTGCGGATGGTATTTGACAATGGCTGGCGTTCTCCCAGCAAGAAGACCCCAGACCAATACCCCCGCGGCATGCGGCATGTGGCAGCATCTCGAGCTTTCGTTGGTCTTCTTTCGCTAGAGCTCGAGGCGGATCTGCAAAGTCTATATCCAATCCTCGCTATACGAAAAAAACTATTGGCTGCTCACTATCATAACCTCGCAAGCCGCAAAGTTAATGTCGGATAGACGGTCACAGAAATTTAATAATCCCATGTCGGGAAGCTTCGTAGTCGATCGAAGCTTCGTAATCTATCAAAGAAGGTGCATCGTGGTTTTTGCAAGAGCACTTAAAAAGTCTCAGAAGAGAGCCAGCAACCTGCTGTTCCCAGTCAATCTGCATCCCCATGCGTGCACCGAGTGCCGCACTGCGGGTGATGAGCTGCCAGTTATACGTCAAGTACATGCGCAACTCGTCGCTGTTATTCGAGTGCAAAGGATCATCGGGCACCGGGAGCCGACGCTGGGCATGATAGCGTGCTTCTTGTAGGATGATGTTGGCAACTTCAGCTGGTAATCCTTTCTTGCAGAGAACCCATCGAACATGCGAAACGTCCTGGCTCGAAGGGAGGTACTCAGAAATCTGATCCAGGTCGACGAAAGCCTCATAAGGGATGTGCCCCAACACAGACCCTTGACTCTTGCCCCCGGTGTCTCGCCAGCGCCTTGATGACTTTGGTCGAAGCCATCGCTCCCGCGAATGCGGAGAGTCCCAACTATCGTTATCTTTGAACTGGCCGTCCGCAATGCCAAAGAACCGGCGGTGCGGGTAGGCAGGCAGCTCGTCGACTGAACCCTTGGTGATCCGGTACACGACCTCCTGATAGGTTTTCAAGCGTCGGTAATCAGCCTGTCCCTTTCCCCAAGTCTGGGGAAAGTGCAGCAGCACATTCAGCAAGATGTATGCGTCCAGCGCGGAATTAGAGGCACGAGACCATCCAAAATATTCTTCGCACTGGCACTCCCGCTCCTCCCACCAAGTCTGCAAGGCGACCTCTGGATGACTGCATATGCGGAACAATGCTTGCATCTGGCCATGTAGCAGCATCGCCGTGAAAACCTCCGCATTGAAGAAACCGCTTGATCCCACATGCATATCGCTGTAGCAACCTTGTGCATGAAACACTTCGGTAAAGGCCGCCATCTTACGCCTTGCTCGAGGCAAAACGCAGCCGCAGTCGTCGCTCTGATGAGAACAAGCGCCGAGCCGAGTGTTGTTCATGCCTAGGCGGTATTCAACAGACTGTCTCCATCGTTTAATGATGGGCGCAATCAGGGCAGCCGCATCATCGTCTACAACCACTTCGTCTCGTGCGGGCGGCGGATTGCTGTCATCGGCATGTTTTCGAATCTCGCACTCAGCATGCTCGTGTATGTTGCGCGCGAACGCGGTCGTAAAGTGCCTAAGCTTCTTGCCTCGGTCGCGCCGGGGATTCAAGTGAAGATCCGCCGCGCCACCCTCGCAACGGTTCGACAGGCGCCAGGAGAGGCAGGACGACAAAGTGGTCCAAGGAATGTTATGGGCTTGATGGGCCATGTTGGTGGAGAGGTATGGAATGTGGAGCAGAACCAGACTCGGAGTACGGAGTACCGAGAGCATATGGCAGTGCAGAGTGCAGAGGTCGCTTACCCTGCAATCTTCTGCCATTTTCACAACGGCTATTCATGTCAAAGAAGGGGGAGGCAGTATGTGACTTTAAATAATCTATATTTATTCATAGAATAGAAATAGTGCTCGATGATGTCTTCTCGATAGTTTAGCCGTGACGTATCACATTATTTCTGCGACAGGTTACTTCGCGACAGGGGAAAGCTGAAAAAGGTCAGTGGTTCATCCACCTCAAACCATCTCCGACGAAGACCATGAACGATAGTCCCGATCAAAGTCGGCTGTCGCCCTTTGCCAAGATAGTCTTTATGACATCGTGTGCTCCTCCGCGTTCCCCAAACATCTGCCTCAAATCCTTCACCAGCAGTTCTGGTGTTTCGTGAGCTGCAAAATGCCCTCCTCTGTCGTGTCTCACTTCGAATACGACAGGCCCGAGCGTACGCCCCCAGGCCGATGGGAGCACCATTATATCACGAGGAAAATACGAAAGGCCTAGCTTGGTCGCCTCGTTGTACTCGAGGATTTTCTTAGTGAGGGCTCGGCTGGCGTGGATGTTCTCGTAGTAGATTCGAGCACTGGCGGCAGGGCCAGCAACGGAGAATTGGTAGATGGAGACCCAAGTGAGGATCTCATCATCGGTCCACGGATAGTCGTCAGTCCAGTCGTGCAGCTTCTCATACATCCAGCTCAGAAGCGCGATGGGTGAGTCGGTCAAGGCCATGCCAATCGTGGATGGCTTCGTTGACTGCAAAAGGTTATATCCGAACCCTTCCTTTTCGAACCATCTCGATCGTTCAAGACCAGCTTTTTCTTCCTCTGTATAAGATTGTATGTCATTCGCGACACCAGCAGGCGCCGAAGTCAGTGTTGGCCCTTTGGTGCGAACCATGTTCAAATGTGATGCCAGCACATTCTGGGGATATAATATGCCCATCATACGGGTAACGGCAAAGCCCCAATCGCCACCTTGAGTGACTACAAACGGTCAGCAACTCACCTTCTAGAGTTAAGTGCTGGAATACGGACCATACTGGGTGTAGCCGAGACTTAGCATGACCTTATGCATAGCTTCAGCGTATTGAGGCATTCCGAAACCTGGCTTATTCACGCCGTCTGAGAAGCCGTAATTAGGTAGAGAGGGTGCAACGACATGGAACGACTGCCCGTCGTTACTCTGCGTGAGTAACGGCAGTATTTTAGTCACTTCTAGAAAACTTCCAGGCCCTAAGCTCCCGTCAGTATATCGCAAGATCCGTAGAATGAGAGCGCCACATACAGCCATGACAGAACAGCAGCGGGATACTATTCTCTCTGTGGCTGCGTTTGTGAACAAAGTGTATGCTCAGCGAGCCAAACCCATCAACATCGACTTTTGTTGAGAATTGCGGCAGCTTGTTCAGTCTGGCCTCCTGAGCTCTCCAGTCAAAGCCATTGGCCCAGTAATGAGCCAGTCGCTTGATGTCCTCCAGAGGAACGCCGTAGTTCCAGTCGTCGCTGAAGTCGACGGGAGTCGGGAATGTTGCGATGGCTAGTTTGTCGCTGAGCAGCTTGAGCTGTTCCGCGGGGACATTGATGGCGTAGTTACTGATATCCGCCATGGTATACACTTGATCAACGGTGCTCAGGTTGCTCAGGTGTTGATTCCAATGTATCATGAACGCACTCGTTCGTGCCACAAGCTCGGTGATGTACTTCGGAACCTTGAGGGATTGTATGAATCAATAGACCTTTGCCGACGGATCGTGACTAGCGTGGTAGTCCAAAGGCAGATCATCATGATGAGGATGTCTCCCAAAGGACGCCAGTTCAATCGTGACGTAAGAGGTCCGACGTCAACGTGTCCGTACTTTACTTGTCGTGCGATTCTCTACTTACTATGGAGTACGCGGTATTGGAGCCTATCGGCCTCGGCAAGTGGAGGCACAGAACCAGCGCGTTTGACAAGTACTTATCCCCTGGCGTCGCAATGTCAACCGCGTGATAACCGGACGCGATATTCGCCAGCAACAGGACTTCTTCCAGGTTCGACTCCGACACTTCATCTTGGTCACTCTACGAAGTCCTGTAGCATCAAACGATTCAAGTACTAGACACCGCGATATCACACCGCGAGTAGTTGCTGCGCTCAAATCTAACTTCGAAGCACAGACAGTGCTTACCGAGGAAAGGGATGCGCGAGCTGTTGGCTGGGTGTGCTTGTGAAAGCGTCTCCTTTGCGTCATTATGTACGGTCAATCATTGCGATCCTCCCCATACGTAGGGGGAGCACCGCACCCAAGATTGCGCGCTGTTTTGTTACTCTCCATTCTGTGTTCCGCAATTATCTTAGGTCTTGGGTGCACGTCGAGAGACGGCTCCTCACACAGATGTAAAAATGGGAACATGAACGTTGTTTTTGCGTTGTTCAATATTTGTGAAGAAGAGAAGAAAGGAAAAAAATAATTTGCAACGCGAGATATGTACGTCTACCGTTCCCCGTGCAGTGGATCCGTCGCTCGGATCCAACCAATTGACACCGCCTGCATCACGGTGCTAATAAGATGCACGTGACCGTTTGAGGTGTAGTGGTCTTTTGAGCTGTGTAAATACAATACTTGCACGTAGAAGATGCGCACACTCAAACGCGAGACTAGATTGAATGTTTGCATACTACGTGTAGGCTAGGCTGCTCCGGCTGCGTACTTCGCATTGCCAAGGTAGTCCCAGACGTAGTAGTTTCGGCTTTCTCCATGTCCGTATCAACCTTCTTTGTCGTTGCCCCTCATCGACGCGCATTGGTGATGACGCAAGCCCAAGCAGAGTTACCCCTACCGTAGCAATGCACCACCTCAAGAAGTGTATCCATTCCCTGGAATATCCATGTAATGTTCTTTACAAAAGCGTACCTGCTGGCCATTACTTTTTGGCTACTTTTCGCTGTGCTCATTCTACCTGTTTCTGCATTGAGCCATGGCAGATATCACAGCCAAGTTGTCCAGTCTGAACCCCTTCAGGGAGAAGGGTAAGGAGGACGATGAGGATCGAGGTGAAAACGTGGACGTCGACAGCACCGGCCATCGCATCAAGGACGATGTAGTCACCAAAGACAAATTGCACGTGAGCAAAGCCTTGAGGTCTTTCATCGTCGCAAACGGCATTCTGTCTGAAAAGGAGGCGGTCCCCGAATCTGATGCGTCGACTGACGCGCTGCGAGCCCTGGTCACCAAGCCTCACATCAATGTTCCCGAGGCCATCACTGACCGGTCGCATCCGCTGCCGGAATATTTCATCAGCTCCAGTCATAATACGTATCTTGTAGCGCATCAACTTTACGGAACATCTTGCGTGTCGGCGTACGAGACTGCCATCAAGACAGGGTCACGATGCGTGGAGATAGATGCGTGGGACAACAGCGACAATATGGACGAGCCAAAGGTGACGCATGGCTTCACATTGGTGTCCAACATATCATTCCGGTCCGTCTGCGAGGCTATACGTGACTGCTGCGATGAGGAGAAAGCGGCGGCTGGACAGGATCCGCATCAGAGACAAGCACCAATCCTGCTGTCCCTCGAGAACCACTGTGACGCACACGGTCAGCTTCGACTTGCACAGATCATGCGCGAAGTCTTCGGGCATCGCCTCCTTAGTGAGCCTATTCGGATGGAAGGCCATCGAGAGCAAGCCGACTCTGGCGAGCATGTGACACTCGAGGAACTCGGAGCAAAGATCGTTGTCATGGTCGAGTATCACCTTTCAAACGAGGCCGATGACAGCGACAGCGACTCGGACGACTCTGAGGATGATGAGGAGGAGAAGACGGCTCGGAAAGAATACAAGGACAAGAAGAAGAAGGCACCCTCGACAGTCATCATCCCGGAGCTCGCGGAGCTCGGAGTCTATGCCCAGTCGGTAAAACCAGGCGACAATTCTTGGTTCAGTGATGCTGGGCTGACCAATGGACCGCACCATCACCTCATAAACGTCTCGGAATCGGGACTTGCATCGCATCTTCCAGAACAAAGTACGTCGATTGCGAGACACAACGCAAGGCACCTGATGCGTGTGTTTCCCAAGGGAACCCGCATCTCCTCGTCGAACCTCAAACCCGTGCCATTCTGGGGCATCGGCGCGCAGGTCTGTGCCCTCAACTGTCAAACATTCGGAACAAGCAACCAAATCAACGACGCTCTCTTTGCTGGCTCGGACGGATTCGTCTTGAAGCCTGCGGCTCTCCGCGCTGGCGGTGATGGCAAACTCTCGACCGGCCGCAAAAGAAAGCTTCGCCTTCATGTCGGAGGCGCGTCTGACATTCAACTCCCTGAGGACACAGAGGTTGGATCGTTCAAGCCTTATCTCACTTGCACCCTTTTCCACCCGGATGATCTCAAGAACGAACCCCCGAAGCGTAAGACTGCGCCGTACAAGCAGCACAAACTCGGCTTCCTCCATCGCGGCGAGAATCCCCCGTCCACTGACCCCATTTGGGACGATGTTCTCGAGTGGGAGTATGATGACAGCGAACTCGTCTTTCTACGTCTTTTAATAAAGCACGATGAGAGCTGGGCCAGGAACCCAAATATTGCAGTGCATGCTGTTCGCCTGTCGTATATTGTACCTGGTTGGTCTTTTATTCGCATGCTCGACTTGAAGGGGAGAGAGACCAGGACTAGCTTGCTTGTCCGATTCGAATTTGAGGATGTATGATGGAATCTACGCCAAGCCATATTTCATAATAAAAAAGTAATTATCTATGGACATACGAATATCTCCCTCGCTGTTGTTCAACCCCGAAGTCGAGACTCCGTTTCCTTGCGTGGCATCGGCACATATGCTGCCATATAATTCCACCAGTCAACGAGCTCGCTGGTGGTCCCGCGATCTGTTATAAGAACTGCACAATGCCGTGCACTCAAACACTTGTTGGACCCAAAAAGATAGAGTCTTCTCCTTATCTATTATTTCAGCCATGTCTCAACAAGACGAAGCGCAGGCACTTAGGAACAGTCTCGCAAAGGCGGGGCTTGTACCTGGCCCGGCAGCGTCCCTTGTTCCCGAGGACTTTTCGCCGAGTACACAACTCGCCCTTAAATTCGGGGATCGCCTCATCGAACTTGGGACATTTTTTCGAGCTTCCGAGTGCAAGGCCGCACCCAGTGTCACCTTCGCGCCAGAGGTAATGTGACCAAGCCAAATTGGCAACGCCATTATTGGATCGTATCTGACTTGGTGGTCGACGAAAAAGACCAACGGCACAGATTCATCGACATACATGCTGTTGCTGATCGACCCTGATGCGCCCACCCCAGATGACCCGAAGTTCGCTTTCTGGCGTCATTGGGTGGTTTCCGGGCTCAAGCCTGATGCGGCTTCCGCGTTGAACGAGAGCTCCCCATCAGTGCTGACTGAGTTTCTGGGGCCAGGACCGAAGGACGAGTCAGTACACCGGCTTGGAAGATGTTCTGTTCTCCGCTAACAAAGAGAATCAGGTCTGCCCCTCACAGGTACCTGTTTCTGTTGTTTCGGGAACCTCAATCACTGTCATTGGGAAAGAACGATGTTGGAGGTGAGGAGTTTGTACAGCGTCGATCCTTTGATGCCGCCAAGTTTGTCAGCTTGAATGGTCTGAAATTGGTTGCGGTGAATTGGATGCTCTGTGCCGGTGATGGGTGGACTGCATGAATGACTTTGGTCATGCATGTCAAACTGAAGACATCGAGTCTCCAGATTTACTGAGCATTGATTTTCCCCATCCATTCTTCACATGAGCTTCACAGGTGGAATCGGGAGAACATCGTCATACGTAGTTTCAATCAATGTCTGGTAGCCTCGGCTCCGAGTCTTCTCCGAGAAGCTGCACAGCCTGTCATGGCCAATGCTTGTGGCGACCGTCTGGACGGGCCCCTGCTGATGATGGTGATGATGCTTCACGAATCCTATCGTGAGGGATGACCGTCTTGGCGGGTTACGGAATACCGTAGTCCATCTTAGAGCGCCACCGTCCAAAACCAGGGGTCCTTCCCACGCGATGGCAGTAACAGATTACATCCATGTCCCGGGTTGACAATGTTAGGCGTGTATCTGCAGCCGGACGCTCACAGAAACTGTCATGGGCGAGAAAGAACAGGGCTGGTCGTGCGTCATTACCCACGGGGCCTGAGCAGCCATTTGCTAGGGACTGACTCAAAGGGCTTGGCGCTCCCAGCGCCCCACACTCATCTCCGTTCGAGTTCCAGCGTCTTTACGAGAGGAGGAGCACTTCTGGAAAACTCATTCTTGGGTTGCTGCGACGGTGGGCGAAATGCCTGGGGTCTCACGTTGCGAATGCATGCCATTACGATTCAGTTGCAGCGCGATAGATGCAAGGCTTCTTGATTCAGTCGTTGTGGTGCGTGGATTCAGGAGAAATTAGCCGCTCGGGTATTACCCCGAAGCTGAAGTGATCGTCGACCACAATAGACCTCAGTGTCCCGTGCGCTCAGACGTCACACGTCACGCCTGTACATCACTGCTGGACTCGGTGCGCATCCGCAACCCTCGCTCAAAGGGCGAACGAAAAGGAGGGGACCGCCCAGACTTGGCGCGTGGTAGCTTCCTCCTACGAACGACACTTGCCTGTGGAGGTTCCACTAATAATGTAATGCGCTGGTCCCGTTGAGAAGGGGTTTACTGCACCGTCCCTGGGGAATCTGCAAAACCTCATGGCCTCCAGCAGACCGCCTCAACCTATTCCCTACGTCGCCTCACTTCACGTTGGCCCGTGACGATACCCTTTGCGACAAGACCAGGGCAGCGCTTCTCCGCACATCTTTTCCTTCGGCATTTGCAGCGGTTTTCCACAAACAAACTTACCTGGTCAAACCATTCTCCAGGCCTGCCCGTTGTCTACCACAAGCCTTGGCCGACGCTAGCTGCACATCATCGTCCTGGTTTGCTGTGCGCCGTTGTCAACAACCCCCGGCTTCACCAAATACGTCTCGACAGAGCACCCCTTACGTATCCTGCGAACATGTCTGACAACGAGTCTCCGTCCCCTGCGTCTGGCGGGGTCCAGCGGCCAGCGCATCTCGAACGATCAGACTCCGCCGTGTCGACAACGCCGTCAGACACCAACGAGCCCACAATACACCAGCCCATACCAACGCGCCCACGACTTCCAAGTCGCCAGAGCAGCGGACCTCTTGTCGTCCCTCGCGACAGCTCTGCCGTTGGTCCTGTCGAATCTCACTATGGCCCGGACGATGTTAGAGCCATGAGTCCGCGGCGAACGAGTGAAGATATTGACAAGATGGGCAAGGAAGCTCGCGAGGAGCTTAGGAAGTAAGTGCCTCCCGCTGTCGTCGCGTTGCTCGCCATACTGATCAGCACCTGCAGGCACGCGCAAGCGCTACAGGACTCTCTTCTTACCATCTTTAACCGAATCGAGGCCGTGCGAGAAGAACACGACAAGCTCGACAGTAACAACAAATTCCTCCAGAAGTATATCGGGGATCTCATGAGCACGAGTAAAATCACAGCGACAAGTAGTCGAAGCAAGAAATGACACGGTGGCTCGTTGCGGACAAACCATACCTTGTCGCTCGTCGCTGCCACCACTGCCGTTGGCTTTGCGACGCGCCGTGCTCGGAGGTTGGCACAACTCTCAGTACCAACTTGCTGACACGGTGCCTGCACACGTCTGTTTTATGGCGGTTTCCAACGATACCCGCGCGCCGCCACGCTCACCTTGGGTCTTCTTGCTGCGCTGGCGCTCTTGGGCCCCGGCTATACAGGCAAGACGCGAATGTACAAAGTGACTGATTCCCAAGGTTGTTGTTTATTTTGGTGCATTGCTAGGCGTGGTTTCGTGATTGCATCCTTCTAGGGATACTGGGTCTATAGAAAGGCGAATATGGAGTAACAATTGCATGTCTTACGGCGTTGACTATGACACGGCATCACAGAAACGCATGGCATCCCGGCGGAAAGCCCATGCAAACTGGCAAACGTGACGAAATCTTGTGTTCATCAAGCCACAGCCTGGCTACCGGTTCTACCGACCCGCGGCCCTTCGAGTATCAAGGGCCCTCCCCCTAGCCCACTGGCATCTAGGCTTACAGTGACTGATTCCCTGCCACCAACTACATGTACTGTCTCGCCAATATTGTGCGAATCCACTTCAAATCCCGTAGAGCTGGTGTTCAGTGGCTCACCGTTTGTGTCGAGTTCCCTGATCTCAACGGTGGGCAGTGGAATCCAGCCTTCGCGTTGTGGTATCATCACAATGGGAATGGACGTCTCCTCATCCGACATTGGATTTGACGCCGGTGGAACCACGAAATGGCCCCGCCGGCGTCCACCTAGTGTCCACAGCTCCAGAGGAGCGGTGACCTCGTATGAGAACACCTGGTCACCCCGAGGGGCCTTGGTCGGATCACACCACCGCCTTGTCGACTTAAGACGCAGTGTAGCGGGTGCTACTTGCCCAATGACGACCACAGGTAGTTCCCCTGCCGTTTTCTTACTGATCAGGTCTGGCGTTGGAGAGAGACGCAGATCAAGACTGTGGACCACAGAAACGGAAGGGACTTCCACTGGGATAAGTATAGAAGATACAGGCAGTATGTTAGACGAGGGCAAAGGCAACGTCTGGTGGGTTTGGAGCCACTCGCTAAAGAAACGCGGAATGGCCACAGCAGGGTCCTCCGGCTTTGCAGGGTCGGAGCCCAGTCCGAGGAGTTTGTCCTGCCATGGAATGGACGCTAGAAAGTCTGTCGACACTTCTCCCAACAGTGAGGCGCGCTCGGACTGACCGTGATCCAAGCATGAATGCATGTGCTCTACGATCACGGACTCAACAAGCCGCTGATACTGAGTTAAGGGCGTTTGTGCAAGAGCCTCTATGATTGCATGTCGTAAAATTTCCTCAATCTCGAGATTGAGTCGGTTGTAGCGTAACTTGAGATGTAGTGTCCTGCTTGCACCCTTGCCCACGTGCTCGCCGATGGATTTCCTTTGCACTTTGTACACTAGGGTCGTCGGGTGATCGGGGAATATGTCCAAAGTCGAAGACGCGAGCCCAGAGCGAGTGGCCTCGAATATGCCGGAGTCGAGGAGCTCGGAATCGTACAAGCGGAGTGGTTGCGTGCTACCTGTTGATACACTGAAGCGCGAATACATGAAGCTGTGCTTGAAGATGTCTTGCACATTGACCCCCACTGCGAGGGATATGGGTATCTTTGATGTTTCCGAAGTGGCAAATGGGCCATCCTGGTCGGTGTGGTAAGATACGTCCAGTTTGGCAACTATCTCGGCGACGTCTTGCTCTATAGTATAGGGAAATTGGATGATCGTGGGCGAGTCACGCGGAAGAGCGCCAAGACGAAATACGCCAGCTTCCGGGGGTTTCGCAAAGCAGTCTGGCTGGCCGACACAGACAGCTTCGTTCATCAACATACGCAGACCTCCCGTCGCTGGACGTATGCGCACCTCGCAGCTCTTGATGCTGTTGTTGCCGGTGTGGACTGTCAACTCGAGATGGTTGGTCTTGTTCAATGTCATATGCCGGCTGGCACTGAGGGCCACATGTAGGGCGGATGCTGGTCTATGCAAGAGCACCGATCTGATCCGGTGGGCTGACGGCTTGGAGCTCGAAGTATCGTAATCGGAGGAAAGGGAAAGGTGTGAAGATTGCAGACAAACTTTGCCAACCCGGAACAGCCCTGGAATAATCGACTGTTCTAGTGTCAGTTACAAGTAACGCAACGTCCAATTTACAAACATACCGAGCAATGAAGGGTAATCACATTCGGTCCGGGCACTATTAATGTCTGCTCGGCGGCGCGAAAAATGACCTCTGTGTGGGCCACGTTGTCCGTTACGAGTTGCAGAGTGACGGAATCAAAAGTGACTTCATTGGGCAACAGAGACTGCAATCGCATGCTCATCGTCGCGCTGTCCCTGTCGCAGTGATAAACCGGCATCGACTCAAGGCATACATTGGTGACGAAGCTGTCCAGGGGGACTTTGGCGTCGCCAGGTAGTGCCAGGGCAAGTTCAGAGATGTTACCCACGGCGTCATTCACGACAGCGGAGATCCCAGCACGTACACTTCCGTCACACACGCTTCCAGCGAGCGTCCCGGGTTTCTGGTGGTCTTTCTGGGTAGCGCATGCCTTCGTCAATAACTTCAAAGCAACCCTCACAAATTCCTTCGACTTGAGATGCTTCAAACATTTTGTGTACATGACAAGCATTGATAGCTCAAGCCAAGTCCAACCGCTCTCCCCAAAGAAAGGGGTTGTGAGGCAGAAAAATGAGGTCGCTGCCCGGTACTCCTGCAAGTGGTACTTCAAAACGGCTAGGTCGGACATGGCGCCTTGGATACTTTGCTCTAAACCAGCGACAGTGAAATGTCGCAGAGCTTTGTCCGTCAGTATCTCGTACAGGCGGTAGAAGTCCGTCGAATTGTCAGCGGCAGTTCTCAGCAGCTTGCTATTGATCCCGGCCAAGGGCAAATCTCTGGAGTCTCTCGCCGACTTCCCTTGCTTGTCGGTAGTGTCGCCACCGTCGTCGTTCAAGTTGATATCTACCATCTCAAGCATACCGAGCTCGTGCATGATGGGGGCTTCATCCCAGCCAGCGCTCCAGCCCCGTGGCTTGCCGAAATTGGTCAAGATGCTGCGCGAAAACATGTATAGGTCACCCCGTTTTGCGGCCAATTCCTCCAGACCATTTTTCGCAAGGTAGGCTTCGTAGGAATCGCCATGGTGCGTAATGGGGTGTTGGCCAGGTCCAGGGAACACCCCAGGGCTTGGTGGTGGTTGATGCTCTTGCTGTGGGGTTTTTATGTGAAGCGAAGATTCCCGAGCTGGATGCATCATCGTCTTTGGTTCAGGTATGGATGCCTTTTGCTCGTCATCGCTCGCGAATGAAATTGTTGACGATGGTATTGGCAACGCTTTGGTTGACGTCTGGGCGAGGATTTGCTGTGCCACGGAGAAGCCGAAGGACGAGACGATGTTGTTAATGACATCGTCGCGCAATGAAGTAGCGGTCCTCTCTTTTTGTTGTTCCTCTGCGTATGCAGTAAGCAGCTCCTGTCTCATGACATGAGATATCTGAGGTATGAATTCAAGTGCTCTATGGCAGATTTCTGCCAGTTTCGCTAGATTCTCCTTCTCCTCGGGTTTCTTCTGCTGTGTCGGTACTCGAGGCGCTACACCGTACAGTATCGAGTCCTGCTGCTCCTTGAGCTGTGCCAACAACTCCTCTCGTGTTGATTGAGCATTCGCGAGCCGAAGCAGCAGGGTGATTTGTCTCGAAAACAAGTAGCATCTGAAATCGAAAGCCGACACATCGTTGGCTAGAATCATGTCTCGGTAAGGTCTCCTGGCAGCATTAATGGGGATCTCATCGGCCGATTCTTTGTGCAGAGCATCTGATTGTAGGTCGACGGTCTCGTCATCTCTACTGGACGAGTCCAAGGCGAATGCATCTATCGTTTGCTTAAGAGATTCGGTGTATTGAAGCAAACCACCACCCTGTCGGCCCAGGTTGCCCCCAGCGTTCTGTTCCGCCACAAAGGACTCCAGGCCAACACTCAGCTCATCGTAGCCGACCAAGGCATCATCAACGAGCCCGACACTCTCAAAGCCGCGGGCCAAGCCTTCTTTGAGAATGAAAAACGTGCAGAAATTCCAACCTGGCAAAGCTCTTTGTGATTCCTTTTCCTTGATGTCATCTTCGTACTGGCTCACACGCCGATCGAAAGAGACCAAGATCAGATCTTTGAGCCTGTGTAGGAGATCTTCCCAGGCGCGTTGGGCGTCTTGCTCGGTCTCCATGTATCCAGTGGGTACCGCTGGGACTACCCGAGGTAGGAGGTCGTAAGGTACATCGTTGATGCCGATACGAATCTGAGCGACATGATCCACCGCGCCTTTAGCAGAGCTGTTGAAATCGGACTGGAATTTCTCGAGGAGTGGTGTCGAGCCCGTCCGCCACCTGGACGTTTTGCCCTCACTAGCTGCACTTTCCGTCTTGACACTTGTGGTGCGCGGCTGCGTGGCAGCCGTGGTATTGGGTAAGACGACGTGAATGACCAACCATTCAAAAGCATCGTGTCTCTCTTGCACGCGAGCCTTTTTCGAGCTACTGGGCGAGGGCGCATGGTCTTTGATCCATTCACGTACTTCTGATCTAACCGTTGCCTTGTATGAATCATTGTCATCGCATCGCACCAAGAGTATTTTCAGGTATGGACTTTGGCGAAGACCCGGTATTTGGTGTCGTCGTTGAGGACCAGCTGCAGAGCCAGTGGTGGCAGCAGAACTGCCCACTGTCTCTAATGATGTCGTCCTGCCTCCCACACTTTGCGCTTGAAATCCATCGTCGCGCGCGGTACTATCGGATCGTCGAAGAGCCGGTGTCGTCGATGCAGGCGCGGTAGGGCCATCACCGCCGCGAACAAGATCAACGTGCAACGTTGGGATGGATCGCAGTGGGCCAGCGTGAGACTGCCAGTGAAGGTTGTGCAGAGGCAACTGAGGTATCAATCCAGGAGCGAGTAGTTTGTAGACGTCGTGCGGGTCGTGGTATTCGACTTGAACTCGTTAGCTGCGACGGGTGACCGGGTTGTTAGCTTGAAGTGAACGCACCTGTAACTTTTGAGGTTGAGGCATCTTGCGAGTCCATGATATGAAGCACAAAACCAGTGGGTTCATGGGTATGCAATTCCACTCGCTGGAGTGCTCAGCCTGCTCAGACGCACCAGTTTCATGAACACCGCATGTTGAGGGCTGCCGATGATGACCTTAAGGTATCCACGGTAAGGAACCCGTGTTCAGGGATTTGACTAGAAGGGGAAAGCGGTGAAAGGCATGACGTGGGGTCTCCGTGGCAGAATCCATCATCATGCAAGTGGTCTACGAAAATCCCCCCGCTGCTACGTCCAGAGTACGTACGAGTAGCTACGGAATTGCTCGTCCACGATTTAGTCAAAGCAGCACAGCCTTACGAAAGGAGTTACGCAATGTCTTCTCTTCAAGCAATCAAGTATTCGCGGGGGAAACTCGAAGTTCTCGACCAACTACGCCTGCCCCATTCATTCCACTACGATGTCGTTTCGAACCGATCCGAAGCCTTCGACAGCATTGCGTCCATGCGCGTGAGAGGCGCTCCCGCCATTGCTATAGTGGCGAGTCTTGGACTTGCCGTCGAGTTGCACCACCAGGGTTTGGCTGCGGACTCTTCGTCTGAAGCTATTGCTCAGATCGATCAAGCTCTCGACTACCTCAAAGGTAGTCGACCAACCGCAGTGGACCTGAGTAACGCCATCACTCAGCTTAAGTCAAGGATCCGCGAGTCGAGCGAAGGCACCAAAGAAGACATCATCTCAGCTTTTATCGACGAGGCAGAGAAGATATTCGCCCAGGATTTGACAACGAACGTGGCCATTGGAGACTCGGGAGCAGATTGGCTGCGCAGGTATGCCGGTGCCACCGCTGAAACTCCCGTCTCGTTGCTTACGCACTGCAACACTGGATCGCTTGCGACGTCGGGACACGGAACAGCACTCGGTATCATCCGCTCTCTCCATTCTAGAGGACTTCTGAAGCACGCCTACTGCACCGAAACTCGACCATACAACCAAGGTAGCCGCCTCACGGCTTTCGAGCTAGTTTTCGAGGAAATACCAAGTACGCTCATCACCGACTCGATGGCGGCGGCCTTGTTCCGTTTGCAGAAAGATAAGGCCAACATTGCCGCTGTGGTAGTAGGGGCGGACCGCGTTGTTCGCAACGGCGATACGGCCAACAAGATTGGCACATACCAACTTGCAGTCCTTGCCAAGGCTCATGGCATTAAGTTCATTGTAGCTGCGCCGACGACTAGCATCGACCTAGTCACGCCCGATGGTAGCGGAATCGCAATCGAGGAGCGGAAAAACGAAGAGTTGACACAGGTGACTGGCGCCATAGTCAAAGAAGACGGCACGATTGAGCAGGGCAGTAAGGCACGCGTGGCCACAGCCGACCAGCGAATAGATGTATGGAACCCAGCATTCGACGTGACGCCCGCCGAGTTCATCGACACTATTGTGACCGAAAAGGGTGCTGTCGAGAAGAGCGCGGATAACACGTTTGACTTTAGCCGAATCATGCCGGAAAGGTGGGCGAAGGTGGTCACTTCCTAAGATAGAGTCGGCCACATAGCGCCGCAGTTACATCGAAAGAGAAGATCCTCAGAGCTCGTCAAGAGAAAGAGCAGAATCGCCGGAGTCGCCATGCAAGGCATGCATGACCAACCGCTGGTAGCCCTCCACCGCACTCTCGAGGTCACCCACGGTAACGTTTTCGTGTGGACCATGAGCGACAAAGATGGTACCAGGCCCATAGAGATACCGCGTGAACTCTCCATCAAGGTTTGGCATGTCGGTTCCATAATTGACCACAATCGACTCGAAACCTATGTCATAGTCAGCCATGCACTGCTTGAGTTGATGGGGGACGTGAAATTGGTACCGTCAACTGCGCATTCAGCTTCGACAAATCCATAGCTCTGGCTGCAGACCAAATTGAATGCTTCCTGATCGATACTGTCCAGGATGGCTTGGATGCGTTCCTGCACAACTTTGCCGCCTATTTCTTTGGGGCCCAGGGCAACTCGTACCATAAGGCCAGCGTGTGCGTGCTCAGGGATAACATTCTCCGCTACACCTCCCTCAATACGGCCGAGATTGACGGTTGTATTGCCGTACTCTTTGCTGCTACCAAGGTCTGCATCCAAGACCTCTTTCATGGCACGAACGAGGAGTTCGGTGGCTGACTTGCCAAGCCAAGGGTAGCCGCTGTGGCCACCGATTCCCTGTACATCGAGACTGCAAAAAAGTGCCCCCTTGTGGCCGCATGCCAGCTTGTTCTCTGTTGGCTCGCCGAATATCACTGCCTCAAACTCGGGCTTGGGATCCATACCATCGAGCGAGGTATTGAAGAATCTCATTCCATCGCCAGAGACCTCTTCACCCACAACAAAGAGCAACATCACGTCGTCACTCTGAACGTCTCCAGCTTCGAGGAGCTGCTCCAGGGCGACTATCATGGATGCTACGCTTGCTTTTGCGTCAACACTTCCCCTACCACTGATACGTGTTTGCTTCGTGATCTCTCCATTTTCGATATCATACGGAATATGAGGCGGTACAGTGTCGATGTGACTCGTCAGCAGGACCTTCGGGGTGGGTGACTTGTCGGAATCTGGCCATGCAACCACGTTCATCCGGTCGGATCCAGAGGGCGTGTTGTCTCGTGGAGGAACGACCTGGAGAATCGACATCCAGCCATTTTCCAGGAAATAGTCGGTGAGAAACGCGCCGACATTTTCTTCCAATCCGGAGGTCGACCTGATAGAGACGAGGTCTCGGTGCAGGTCGATCAGATGGGAGCGGTAGGACGGGGCGTTGCCGACAGAGTCTACCCGCAGAGCGAGCGCGACTGATGTGTACAATGCTAGACCAAGTGAATAGGAAAGCATAATTACGACTGAGTGGCGATACTTTGATAGCCCAAGCGGCCTTGGTTGAAGCGAGGACGAAGAGTCCAACAAGAGTACCTACCAGGTCGTAGGTGACGACGTTCAATTGGCTCCAGGCGTTCCACCTAAGAAACCTACCCTATACCTGGGTATGTAACACAGACACACTCCCTTCCTACTAGGAAACTAGTTGGCATGGGGTGATATACTGCTCGCATTATTTTCTGGGTTACTTCACGGTCATTAGAGATTCCGTGAGCGCCAGGATGTGTAATATGTCGACGAAAAGGGCCGACGGAGCCGTTAGTTGTTTTAGTCGTAGCTCATGGGATATAGCACAAAGAGCCAAAAGTACGAGCAATGGCAAAGTACATCCATAAGCTGCCGCCGAGCGTGTAGGACTTAGACGGCAAATAGAAAGATACACCGCGTGGAATCGATTTTGGCAACTACTAGAACGCCGCATGCTCTAGCCAACGAATAGAAGATATACCAACTGCATCATTGGGGTGAATATAGTCATGCAGGCGCTCGATAGTCGCAGCGCATAATTCAATTGCCGAGGAAAGAAACCACTGTGCTCAAGTTGCACGATGGCCCCGACAACTGTTACATGTCCTCTCCTATCTCAACTTCTGAAATGTACAAAAGGAAGCCCTATGGGTGTTTCTAAATTCAAGGATCCTCATCACCAGCTTTGCGCGCCTAGAAAAAGTGTTAGCCGCTGATGTCGGGTCTGAAGCATAGTCATAGCTCACCCTGACAGCACCTGGGCCGCCCAACTCCCTTTCCAATCCTGCTTCAAATTCTCGAGGGTAAGCCACCTTGTCTGGATAATTCATGTAGACAACGCCACAGACACCCAAAAACGTAGCGACAAAGGTGCCCATCATAATCAGGCCAGGTCCGGTTGTTGTCCATGTGTAGTCGTAGGGTGAAAACATGCCCAGAATATCGTTGTCTTCGTGAATGGGCTCGCCAAAGTTTCGTCGCTCTTGAGGGTCCCACCAGTCGGCATGAGGGTCGCGGTGCTGGCGTTTGATTGCCGGAGGGTTAATGTAACCGCCATTCTGCGTGACGATGCCGTCAGCCTCTGCTCCAAATGCCGACGCATGAAGCACTCACCATGTCCGGGTCCTGAGCAGGGCTCAATTCGTGAGGTCTCGGAAACTTCTCTTCCAAAACCTTTGGATCCGAGTACTGCGGTGGGATGAATGATCGTCGCTGAGTCGTAGGGAGTCTCTGCGCAGCAGCCACTGCGCTGCGCAGAACTGACCGTCGACCAAGTCTAGCAGGAAGCATCTGTGCGACCGAAGTCGCAGTCAGTAAGGAAATTAGAACGTCGACAGACTCAACTCAATGACTTACCTTTGCGATGTGACGGCGCGTCGACCTCAATTGCTTCGAAGCTTGGTTGACGTTGATCTGCTACCGGGCGCGAGACCAATTGATGGTGCGAAGTGCCTCAGGCGACACAACGAAATTACTCATCAATCAAGCCACAAAGGAGTGGGACCGCTCCACATGCTCCTCGTCGTCGCTGTGGCTGTGCTGGACTCGGCTTAGTGCTCAAGCTGCAATTTATTCCTATTCGCGTCCGACCTTTCGCGTCGCTACGGAGTACCTCGCGGTAATGCCAGCTTCTTCGAAATTATTAATACGTACTTGCTGCTGTTTCCAACATCAACACATTAGCGAACAAAACCATAGTATCTTCGATTTTCCCAAGACGACTGGCTGGAATTTCACTGGTCGTTGTCTTTTCCGTCGCCAATGTACGCCAATCGCGAATAACGCACTCCGAGCCTGCGGCCGTCGTGTCTCGTCGTGATGAGCGAGTCCCAGTTATCCAAGCAACCCCGACGCCACTCGCTTCGCGCAAATGACGATGCAGATGAAGCGACGAAAGAGCGCTCTGCTGCCGCACTGAATCACAATGAAGGCCAGGATGATGCACCGAGGTCGCCTGACGGCGGAAATGGCCTCGTCCATCTCAGCAAAAGCTCGCCACAGAGACCGACTCCAGCAACCCCCGCCGCTGCCCGGAGAACCTCAAAACATGATTCCCCTACAGACGAGAGACCGGCTAAGCGACAGCGAACACTGAGCGCAACAACACCTCGAAGCGCGCGCAAACCGAAGCCCGTATCCCCACCATGGAAACGGATCGAAGCGGACGGCCCAACATCCTACACCGAAAATGGACGCCGGAAGTCTGGTCGCATCAATACAGCAGTAGCGGAGACGCCTCAACCCACAGCTCGAAAACCGCGACAGGCGTCAAGTGTTCGAAAGGCGGCGGCGAACTCTCCTACCAAGACTCGCGAACACACAAGTCGCAGCAATGCAAAAACGGGAAAGAGGTCAAATGACGGCGAGAGCTTGTCCGGCCGGGGGCATGGCTCAGTTCGTTCGGCAAAGAGGAGCTCAAAGCTGCGTACATCCTCTACAAGGCTTGCACAAGGCACATCACTGTCACCCGAACCGGAATCTCGCAGACAATCTAGTCGGGTGCGACAAAGCGCGAGATCTCAAGCCGCGCACAAGCCTGCCGAAGACCCTATGTCCGGGTCGGCGGTTTCCTACACGCAGCATTCTTCCCCGCGCATACGGTTGCGGGTGAGTCGAGGAGTCAACATACCGCTAGTGCATGCTGCGCAAGCACCCAAGCGACCCAAGCTTGGCGCGAACTTTGAAGACTTCTGGCGTCAGGCAGGGAATGTCTCCGTTGATGCAGGAGGTCTCCAGTCATCCGAAGATGGGGCAATATACACAGACGAGATGGCTCGCAAAGATGCACGCACTGTATTACGAATCGAGGAAGAGGTGGAAGACGGAGGCTTGCTGTCAAGCCGCCGGTGCTCATTGTTTGTACCGGAAACAACGGAAGTGCCAGCAAGGCAATGGGCGAGGCAGGATCATATGGTTAAGGCTATGTCTAATTTTCGAAGGCTGATGGTGATGGAGCAGCAACGACATCGCACCATAGCCAAGCGAATCGCCGAGGCCTGTCGTGACGAATGGCTAAGGCGTCGACCGAAATCGCAAGAAGAAGTAGAAGTGGAAGCAAGGGAGCGATGGCGGAATACTTATCGCTATTCTGTCATGAGAGCAATCAGTGGATTGTGGGAGAACGTAAGGGCAGAGGCCAATCGTCAGCGCTTCGAGGAATGGGAGGCGGCGGAGCAGCGCCGGGTCAAAGCAGCGCTCAACGAGGCTGTAAACCTTTCTGAGCAAAAACTGCAAGCGCGCCAGCTTGGGCTTGATTCCGAGATCGCCTCCCTCGACGACCCGGACACGGATGGCAGTGTCAACGACGACCCACTCGACGACGACTCACAATCTGACACTGCCGATACGCGGATTTCAGACCTCACAGACAGCGACAACATGTCAACAACAGACGATGACGAACCTGACGCAGCGGATGCCGATGTGGCAGATGAAGTGCTCACCCAGGATCAACTCCGTGTCAAGTATGCAGGCGCCAACATCAAGTCAGCTTCTCCCACGGATGCCAACATTTCCACGAAACTTGGCACCAGTGTATCTAGCGACGAGTCGGTGGACATGGATGACGACCTGGGTGAATCAGACCAGATAGAGGACAGTGATGCTGTCAATGAAGGACGCAGAAACGGCACAAATGCCCATAGCGAAGACAGCGACAGTAGCGATGATGGCCACGACGACGGTGCACCAAATGGCCTGCTGAACATGCTGTTCGATGACTCCGAATTAAAAGAGCTCTCCGCTGAAGCACCCGGAACGGAACATATGACAGGAGCACCTGAAGTAGGCAACGACGGCACCTCATCGGGCCCGGCGCCGGCCTCGACACGTCTCGACAGTGCTCCTGACGAACAACTCAACTTGAACACCTCTACGGAAGGCGATGTGCCAGGTTCAACTGTACTGCACGAAGAGTCCGAGAAGCCTATACGTCAAGAGACCACACCTGATGCAAAGTCGACGATGGACTATGAACAAGATCAAGATAAAGCACGGCTCATACCCGAAGAATCACATAAACAGACCACCGAGGTGCCTTTCTTACTGCGAGGAACCTTGCGTGAATACCAACATCAGGGTTTGGACTGGCTCGCTGGACTTTACGCCAATAACACAAACGGTATCCTGGCAGACGAAATGGGACTTGGCAAGACCATACAAACTATTGCCTTGCTTGCTCATCTCGCGTGTCAACACGAGGTCTGGGGGCCACACTTGGTGGTTGTCCCTACAAGTGTGATGCTGAACTGGGAAATGGAGTTCAAGAAATGGTGCCCTGGTTTCAAAATCCTGGCCTACTACGGGTCTCAGGAGGAACGGAAACGGAAGCGACAAGGGTGGAACAACGACGACATGTGGAATGTGTGCATTACGTCGTATCAATTGGTGCTCCAGGATCAGCAAGTCTTCAAGCGTCGTCGTTGGCACTACCTGGTTTTGGACGAGGCGCACAACATCAAGAATTTTAAATCGCAACGGTGGCAAACACTCTTGGGATTCAATACGCAAGCAAGACTCCTTCTCACAGGCACGCCTTTGCAGAACAATCTAACAGAGTTATGGTCCCTGCTGTTCTTTCTCATGCCCGCTCAAAATGGTGTGGGGGGGTTCGCCGACCTTGAAGAGTTTCACGACTGGTTCCACAAGCCCGAGAGTCAGATTCTGGAGAATGGACGAGAACAGATGGATGACGAGGCTCTAGCCATCATCTCCAAACTCCACAAGGTGCTGCGGCCGTACCTCCTGCGCCGGCTGAAAGCGGATGTTGAGAAACAGATGCCCGGCAAATACGAGCATGTCGAATTCTGCCGACTGTCGAAAAGGCAACGCGAGCTGTACGATGGATTTTTATCCCGAGCTGACACCAAAAACACCTTAGCGTCTGGCAACTACATGTCTATCATCAACTGCCTGATGCAACTGAGGAAGGTCTGCAACCACCCAGATTTGTTCGTCGATCGGCAAATTGTCACCTCCTTACGAATGCAGAAATCTGTCCCGGCTCTTTACCGATCGACCGTACGAACGCTGACCCAGGGGCTCTTGAGGCCGGAACCCATGTCAAAGGTTGACCTAGGATTTTTGAACCTGGTGCCGGCGCAATACGAGAGCATTCCGAGAGCTGTAGCTGAACAGGTCGCAAAACTGAGCCTGTCTACGGATTTACTGGACTACCGTGAAACGCAAAGAGTCCGGGCTCGAAATGCATACGTCAATCTGGACCCAACCACTGTCACATCCAGTATTGTTTACATTGAAAGTGCGTTTCGCTGGGGTCGATTCGAAGAGTTGCAACACTGTGTATACCTGAATGCACTGCGGCGCCAGCAAACTCCCATATACGGCAAGGATCTTGTTGAACTGTTGACAATCGATGCCGGGGAACGACTTCGGAAGCCTAGGCCCAAGGCTGCTCGGGGCCTCTTGGCCTGGTTCGAGCAAACATCGTCAACAGTCGGCTCTATGGCTCTCTCTCTAGAACAGCGCGCAGAGAGCATGCGCACCGCCATCGAGAAGTTCTCATGTGTCACTCCGTCTGTGGTGACCTGTGACATTGGAGAAGTCGTCCTCGGCCATCGCGCGGCCCATGCCTTTACAGAACGAGATCTCCAAATCTCCAAGCCCAGGAAGTGGACACCATGGTTGGAGAAGCAGTCACCTCCGGATCCCTGGCATGAGGCACGACTGCGTCTCAGTATTCAGTTTCCCGACAAACGTCTCCTGCAATACGACTGCGGCAAATTGCAGGTTCTCGATCGCTTGCTACGCAAGCTCCAGGCCGGCGGGCATCGTGCCTTGATCTTTACTCAAATGACCAAGGTGCTCGATATACTAGAACAATTCCTCAACATCCATGGCCACAAGTATCTGCGACTTGATGGTGCCACGAAAGTCGAACAACGTCAGATCCTGACGGATCGATTCAACAATGACCCACGGATCCTTTGTTTCATCCTCTCGACGCGCTCCGGTGGGTTGGGCATCAACTTGACTGGGGCGGATACTGTCATATTCTACGACCAGGACTGGAACCCTGCCATGGATAAGCAGTGTCAGGACCGATGTCATCGAATTGGCCAGACACGAGACGTCCACATCTATCGACTCGTCAGCGAGCATACCATCGAGGCGAACATCCTACGCAAAGCCTCCCAGAAACAGATGCTTGACGACGTCGTCATACAAGAAGGTACATTCACTACAGATGCTTTCAACCAGATGTCTGTGCGTGACTTGCTACGGGAGAAGGTGGACACTTTCAGTGAAGGTGTTTCTGCGGCTGATGCCGCTCTTGATCGCGTCCTTGGCGGTTCTGATGGCGACGCCAACCAGCGCAAAGTTGGTCGCGTTCTCGAGCAGGCTGAAGATCGCGAAGACATCGATGCAGCTCGCGTCGCGGAGAGGGAGATCGAGGCCGATGACGCTGATTTTGTGGAAAATACCAGCCTTGTGACCCCTGAAGATTCGACTGGTCGCAATGCCACATCTGCTGTTCGCGACATTGACACGGAGGGCCAGGCCACTGAAGGCAGCATGCAAGACCCCAATGCTTGGGGAGCTCCGATGGGGACAATTGATGACTTCATGCTCCGAACGATGGCTGATGCGGTGAAGGGCACGAAGCTGGAGTTGCCTCGGGACAAGAAAAAGGGCAAGAAAAAGGGTAGGGATACCAGAAAAAGATAACGGCTGTCACTAGAAGCACGGGCTGCGTTAATGTTGCCCGAGGAGTAGAGTACTAGTAGTACGGAGTATGTACTACCTTAATGTAACATATCCGTATATCGGCTTGTAACACCTCGGAGAACAGCATGATGCTATAAGCCCACAGACTATCTTATGCTGACACGGAGTACAGGATTGGGATGCATCTCAATTTCACCAGAGTAGCCACCGAGAGTATCGACGGAGAAGTTCAAGAACGTACCACCGTGATGAAGTAACAAAAGGTGTACTCCGTACTTGCGGCACCACGGTGAATGGTGGTGACGTGTGGCGACCTTGTGTGGCGTACATGTGCGCACTGTGGCGCTAACATTCAACACGAACAAGGGATTCCGCGCCAGACTTCCTCGCGGAGAGCACCTGGTTAATTGTGCAGATGGACGTCGCCATCCGCCTCATTCCTTATCCCCCACGAATACAACCCTTCCTCCCCTTCTTCTTGGCTTATAGACTATTTCTGCCATTTGTGATTTATACTCGGAACGCGAGTCTTCTTGCGCGATTGTGATTTCTCTTGTTCTGCCATGGCGCTTTCTCCTTGCTTTCGATGAGCACTCCTGAACCCCTATCTCCGACATTGTTGTACGATATCACGACTTCTTTAGCTGCTCGACCGACGAAAGACAAGCCCAAGACGACGAGAGCGACCCAACAGCCCCCGAACTCTACGGTTGCTCCGCGCATTAAGTTGCAACACGGTCTGCCGACCGTGCATCGACAACGTCCCAGGGATGCAGGTCGCCAGAGGGAAGACGGTTTCAAACGGACGGAAGGCTAAAGTAAGTTCGCAAGAACAAGCGAGCCTTCAGGCCTTTCTAACAGCCATCACAGTTGGCCAATTCGTATCAAGAACTTCTCGAGTGCGCACCCACCTCATGCGACCGCCTTTCCGCGGCGGCTGCAGTTTTCGTTGCGCTTTGCTGACCCCGACAGCGAATTCTCCAACAAGGAGCTCAAGTCGGTTGGGAATTATAACCTTGGGCGTTTGATTGGCAAGGGATCGTTTGGCAAGGTTTATCTTGCCTCACATAAGCTCATCAATGGCTCCAAGGTACGACCCAAGTGTTGTCTCCGACGTTCATTGCTGTACTCACGCCCTGACTCTTTAGGTTGTGCTCAAGTCCGCAAACAAGGATGATTCGAATCTCGCACGCGAGATCCACCATCACCGTCAATTCGTGCACCCTCACATCGCCCGACTCTACGAGGTGATAGTCACCGAAAGCTTGGTGTGGCTTGCTCTGGAGTACTGCCCAGGTGAGCGCGTATTGTCGGAAATGTGACGAGGCCCTGCTAATAGTGCTCGATAGGGGACGAACTTTACAACTATCTTCTTAAGTACGGGCCATTGCCGATCGCAAAGGTGCAAAAGATCTTTGCGCAGCTAGTCGGTGCGGTTGCCTACGTACACCAGCAGTCTTGTGTACACCGCGATTTGAAACTCGAAAATATCTTGTTCGACAAGAACGAAAATGTCAAGCTAGTCGATTTTGGCTTCACCCGAGAATACGAGGGCCGAACGAATCAACTCCAAACCTTTTGCGGAACAATATGCTATGCGGCTCCAGAAATGCTCAAGGGGGAAAAATACGCGGGCGAGAAGGTTGACGTCTGGAGTCTAGGCATCATATTATATGCTTTGCTTTGCGGCGAACTGCCCTTCGACGATGACGATGACGGTGCAACGCGCACCAAGATCCTCACCGAGAAGCCCGCCTTCCCCGAACATCTGCCCGCCGACGCAGTCAGTCTGATGGAAGCACTACTGTCCAAAAGACCGTTCCCAAGACCAAGCTTGCCCGACATCCTATCCCACCCATTTCTTGCCGAACATGCTCCGGCGCAACAGGCTATCCTAGAGGTCCACCAGCCTAGCCCATTTACCACGGGCTTGGAGAAGGATTGTCTCCATCGAATGAAGTCTGCAGGCGTCGACATTGATATGGTCATAGAGAGCGTGTTGGCGCAGAAGTGCGATGCCCTATCGGGATGGTGGACATTGCTACTTGCCAAAGAACGCCGGAAGCTTGCGCGGAGGGAAAGAAAGCGCACGGAGCGAGAGGCGGAGAGCAAAAGTTCACGTCGCGTCTCTGCTGCATCGAGCAGACTTGAGCGCATGGCGCCTTCGTTGCACGATGTCGACGAAGACGGCGGGTTGACCAGTCATTTCATAAGTTCGAGAAGCCGCGGCCGGAGCTCTCGACGCAGCACACACTATTATACTGATTTCAACTTCCAGGAGCTGGCGACGCAATTTGGCGACCCGAGTGCGTGGAACGGTCTTGGGAGCCCTGACGAGATCCCACCGACTCCGGTCGACAAAGACTCCATCAGATCCGCGTCAACGTCTACGCATCGCCGTCCCGTGCCACCTCCCAAAGAGGGCATTATACGAAGCGCACGCTCTCGTGGTTCCACGCTCCACTTGGTGACAACACCCGAAGCGCTTGGCCAGAGCGGCCACCACCATCACGACTCCCATACCACAGCGGAAACCAATGGCAATGCAAAGTCCAGACGTAAGCCGAGTCAAGCTATTATTGCGCACTGGAAGAACTGGACACACTGGATATTCGAAAACACGACCAAAAGACGGCGATGGCACGACAGAAAGTCAAGCCGTAGCACACCTGATCTGCACAAGAAAGACGGAAACTCGACTGGCAAGGATAGCAAGGCCTCGACACCTCGTCCCCAGACAAACCCAACCTCAGGCCTTCAAAAGTTTCCGGCCACTGCAGGACTGCCGAAAAATGTCGTGGCGAACGGTCATCTAGGCAACGCGGCAGGGTCAAAGGGCAGCAGCAAAGCCGGACACGGGCAGTCTCGACAAAACCTCCATCCGGGCTCGGACCATGGAACGTTGCGTACTTCCCCAGCGCATCCTCAGCTTCGGAAGCGCCAGTCTCTGTCCCCAGCGCCGTTGACGCCCACGCCCGTGACCCCGCGATCTTCGACAATGAGACGGTCATCGGCCGGTCTGCGAGGCCGCAAGTCCACGTCGTCGTCAGTCTCGTCAGTACGTTCTATGCATCGGCACCGGCATTCCCACTCCAAAGCTTCTTCGACTAGTTCTGCTGGATCAGTGTCTGTATCGAAGAGCGCGCATCATCGTGGCGCGTCCCCGCAACACTCTGTCAAGCTACTTCCTGCTACTCCAACGGCCCAATCCTTTCCTTCCAACATCCGTCTTGTCCGCGCCGCGCCCGCCCCCTTGAACTTCTACAATGAAGGTATGCCCCACAATGAGTCCGCGGTACCAGGCTCGCCAAACCCATTCTCATCGGGTGTTCTGTTTGCAAGACGCAAGAAGAACATCTTCAAGGGCCCTTCGCTCAACCCCGGAGGTGTCTCGGGGAGTGGTCACAGAAGCTCCGCAGCTGGTGGCCACTCGCGTTCTGCGAGTGGAAGTGCCATTGCTCGGCGATCCGGAGAAGTGACCATCCAGGAGGAGGACGAGGACCACGAAGCAGAGGTAGAAGTTGTCGAGGAGGTGGAAAACTTCACGCCTGTCATCACAAGACCGGGCGAAATCGTCGAAGAACGCATCATCGAGGCGGACGAAGAACCGGAAGTTCGAGACGATGCTAATGCAGCTGCGATCAAGACACCCTGAGCGGCTGGCAAACCGGCCGGTGGCAGCAGCTGATTGCAGAGGCTGAAAATGTTTCGCTACTCCGTCCATGAGCCGCTTGTCTGATATTCGCGTCGACTTGGATCGTTACTTGCTTTGCGGTGATACCCCTCTGCTGCATGCCCATCCAATCACAGGTTCGAATACAATGTATATAAAGAGACCTTCAGATAGTTGGATTAGTTGCCATGTCAACCCGGCAAATTCACAATTACCAACAACAAGCTATTTCAATGAAGCCGCATACTGAAGCCGTGTGAGAGTTGCGCTGGCGCTAAATTGTGGATCATGATCTGAACCACTACAGGGTAAGGTGCGGTGCCTGGCTTTGAATCCGTGGTATTTTACTAAGGCGGTTGCGAGCTAGCCCACGCTTGTTGATGGTAGCGGGGTACATGGGACCCATTATCTTGCTATTCATGGCAGCTTCCATCTAATCATTACTTGCTAAGCTGGTTGTGTTCGCCAGTTCGAGATCTGGAGAGAAAATCTTCCTCCGAAGAGTCACGGTGAGCTTCGACCGCTATTTTCCTTTTAAACTCTCACATGCCTGTTGGGTGGCACTTTTCGCTGTTGGATTCGCAGCCATGACCCAATCTGAGCCCGCTTTCGAGAAGGACCGCCATATCAAATACTGGAAGCGGTGCCATGACACATACCTCCCGTCGCCGTACACGGCATCGGACTCGACTCGGTTGATGTGGGCGTGCTTCACGTACTCAGCTCTGGACATACTATATGTGCCGTTGGACCCCGAGGACGCAGCCATTGTGCGCACTTGGGTTCTGAACTTGCAACATCCTCAAGGTGGATTTTGCGGCAGCCCAGCTCATGGACACAAGGGCCAGACGGCAGATCAAGGCCATGCGAACTTGGCGGCAACCTTTTTCGCCCTGGTGCTGCTTGCTGTAGTGGCAGAGCATGGCGAGGCTGGCGCGGACGCATATGCTGGGGTCAATCGGCAACAGACACTCAGTTGGCTTCGACAATTGCAGCGGGACGACGGCAGCTTTGGGCAGAACATGTGGGACGGTCAACCCGTCGGCGGCAGAGACACTCGACACAGCTACTTGGCGAGCTCGGTTAGGTGGATGCTCCGCGGAGACCCCGGGAAGGGCAGCACGGCGGAGGAAGAAGATATCGACGTGGAAGCGATGATTAAGCACATTCGCCGCGGGCAAACATACGACGGGGGGCTAGCCGAAGCTTCATCACACGAGTCTCATGGTAAGCAATCGAAGACGCCCTGTGCGCTGCGCCCATCCTAACCAGGTCACAGCTGGCTACGCATACTGCTCTGTCGCCGCGCTATCGCTCTTAGATAGGCCACTGCGATCCTCGGATGGCACGTCACATGAAGCTGTGCTTCGAGGCACAAGCAATCGGGACCATCTGCTGAAGTTCTTGGCGGATCGCCAATTTGTCTACCTGGCCCAAGATGAAGAAGAAGAGGGCGTTTCGCACGATGCGGCAGAGGAGAACTTCATCATGGCACAGTTGAATTCTCTCAACATTGATGACAGCTGCGAATATGGTGGCTTCAACGGCCGTTGCAACAAAAAGGCCGACACGTGCTATTGCTGGTGGGCCATGGGTACACTGCGCGTATGTACACAAGTCCAACTCCTGTCCCGCTCACCTCAATATACTAATGCACGTAGATGCTCGATTCAGGGTTCGATATCAGTGCAAGCCCGGCGCGCCGTTACTTATTGGAGATCACACAACACCGGATCGGCGGATTTTCCAAGGTGGCAGGAGCACCTCCTGACTTGTATCACGCGTACCTCGGCCTTGCGGGACTAGCGTTGTTGGGCGAAAGTGGTATCAAGGAATTCGACGTCGGCTTGTGTTGCAGCACCGAAACGACTGCCAAGATTGAGCGCGCGAGGGCTGGACTGATACAGAGGGCAGAGCAAGATGCCGAGTCTGAGCAGGAGGACAGATTCTGGGAGCAAGTATGATACATGTTTTTTTTTCGGGCGGGTAGCCGAACGCAGCGAGGGTTATATTTCGTCAAGTCCTACGAGCCACGCCGGCTCTTTACTATGGTTTGGGCGTTGACGCATGGTCCTTCGATTCGCCTTTGAATGAGAAGAACGGTGTTGAGTCCTTTCTCCGTTCCTCAACCTGCGGAACTGTTAGTCAAAGCCAAGAGTACTCCGAGGAGCAATGTGGAAGGTACCCAGTGCTGTTTGCAGTCACGATAGGCCCTATCATCTTGTCAGCAGTAGCCCGTCATGTTCGCCTGATTGCCTCACTGGAAATATTCGCCGCACATTGCCTTATCGCCGTTGTTTCGGAACAGACACCGGTAGCTCCGCTGTGCTGCTTCTTGGCACGGATCGTAGAATTCGCTTTTCGATTTGCTGCAAAGTGGCTGTTAGCGCAAGGAATGGGAGCAGCGCGGCGCGGCTACCTTTCGAAACGACGTCTTGTGTTGTCGTCCCATGGGGTGGAGGGTTCATTCGACTTCGCCTCTTTGTCGCCAGAACCAGTAGCCATAATGAAGGGAATATCAGAGAACAGAATCGGCTTGTGACTTGGTCTTTTGATCTCTGTCGTCGACGCTGGACAATGAACGGGATTGAGATCGAGGCATCAACAAAGATGCAAGGAATAACCCGAATGGGTGTTCAGCCACAATGACGCTAACATGGGAGACCTCGTAGACCTCAGCCACAGGGACCACCGTGGAGCGCCACAGCTTTCTGTCACGGCGGCCTCAGTGTGAACCATCCTTTGATCGCTTTCGAGTTGGGTTTGTGCCAATAAATACAAGAAAGTTTGCGAGGCGTGTCAGGCTCGATCGAAATCGCCCATTAATGCAACGAATGAAGCCGTCTCTCAAGGATGGAGTTGATCTTCAACTTCAGACAGCGTTTGCCAATGGCAACTGGCCGCTGGCGGCGCGGCTGGCCGAGAGCAGATTGAGGATGACGAAGGATCCGTACTACGAGGTTAGCTGCCACTTCATGCGCGTGTTGATGAGATCTAAACATGGTTCAAGATTGTCCAAGTATGTGCGCAATGTCAAGTTGACGAGCCATCGACCAAGTTTGCTGCGGTTGCCGCCGTGTCCAGACTACTCCGCGACAAACACCCCGCAGCAGGAGATTTTAACGCACTGAGTCTACTCGAATGGGCGTCAAAGAGCACGGCCTCGCCGACATTCTTTGTGGAGAGCATCGGTCCTCTGCGCGCCCAAGCTGTCAAGGGTCGCCCCAAGGACAAGCATGCCGCATTGCAATCACTCGAGTCGTGCTTGACTCATTGGGACTTGAGAAGTGCTCAGCAGGTTCGTCACCGGCCTACCGTGCATAATTTGATACGTTACTAATGGGACGCGCGATAGATCGCAGCTGTACTTGATCGGTCATATCCCCAGGAACGACGGTATCTCTTCTGGAACATCGCACTCACGTATCTACTGTCGGTGAGCGATACGCAGCAAAATCGATGAGATGCATAGTGCTGATACAACTATCTAGACGTCGGATCAAGCCGAACAGCAACAAAAGCGCCTTTACGGGACACTTGCTTTGAAACAGATCCAAAAAGCTGCCCAGGTTACGGAGCAGGTACGGTCCCCAAGACAGTCCCGATGACCACTTCTCCTAGATAACTAACATCCACCGAATAGGTCCAGTCAGATGACAAAAATGTTTCAAGTGATTCGTACCGAGGCATCCGCACGGCTGAGGAGAAATGGCTCTTGTACAAGATTGTGGAAACACATGGCTCAAAGGCCGAGTATGAAGCACTCGCCTACAGCCACAAGTTCGGGCCGTTGAATCAGCTACGGCAGGGCGACAAGACTCTATTTGCCAAATATACTCAAAAGCTTTCTGCAGATGGTAATTGGGCCAAGGCTTACTCACTGTGCGAGGATGCGCTCTTGATGAAGACGGAGAAGGGAACACTTGGGTTGCTCGCGTGCGACCATGATACACTGGAGTTGCTTGTTACGGCCGCTGGCCACGCCTGCGGCGGCGACGCTCGGTTTGTTGCCTCCATGGAGCACTATTTCGTGACATGTGAGCTAATGTGCTAGCAGCAAGAAGGTTGGCAAAATTCTGTCCACGCTCCTGAGCGTCCCTGGACTTAGCTCGATCCACAGACGCAATATCCTTTTGGCTCGTGTGAACGTCACGTTCACACTGCTCCCTAAACAAGAGCCCACGCTGACAACAGACGGCTCGAACAAATACCTCCTGGACCTATGCGGATACATCCGTGATCAGTGGAGCAGTCCTTCCTGCTTCGAGGACATCAGTCGATTCCTGGACCTCCTCGATCATGACTCCCTGCGGCTGCTTGTTCATGAGCTTCTTCCAAACATTCAAGTCGAGAACGAACTTGACAAAGCTGGGCAATGGAGGGTACTGCTCTTAAAGGTGGAATACCTGGCGTCTACGACGCGCCGCTGGGAGGATGGACTAGGAGAGTTGCGCAGTCGCATCATCGGCTTTTACGAAGAAGCCAACGCCTGGTCTAGTCCTGGAAATCGCACAGTCTCTACGGATCTCGCCTTGTTGGCGGCATTTTGTGACATTCGGCTGGGAACATCAGAACATCTACTCCATGCCACTCTACTCTTGGAGCATCAGCTGTCCCTCGATACCTCGCAGACCCAGCTCTGCTTGGTGCTTATGCAGCTCCACCTCGCTCTTGGGTCGGTCAAGCGAGCGCGAGAGCTTTGGGATGGATTGGCTGTCAAGCGGTCGACCATTGACGCCCTGGGACCGCTGTTCTATGACCGCTTGTCGACGGTGGCACCGAAGATGCTGTCGCCGATGGACGATATGGGGTGGAAACTCATGGACACGTTTGTCCATCATTATGAGCAGTCACTCAAAACCCCGATGCACCGCCGCCTTGTTGATACCTTGTATTCGGAGGCCTACAGCTCCATGATTGAGATCCCCTGCTTCGTGCGGAAATTGAGGTGGAGCACCACTAGAGCCATCAGTCTCGTCGAGGAATCAAGGGTTGGGCGCTTGAATGGCCTCGCTCAGCACGATGTGTTTTCCGACCGCCGATTCAGTAAGTGCATATGAACCTGATTTTGCCGTCACTGACATCCGCAGCCGACTTGGTAGACACTACAAGTCTACACTCGAAGATCGACTACGGAGCATTTCCAATGTGGGACAGTCAAGAGGCGGTTCCGATACACGTGCTTCTTCGATACGGTCCATCGCCCAGGGTAAGCCCGACCTTGATGCCAGGGCATTGTGAAAATTTTGCTCACCGTATCGCTAGGCCCGTCGCGTGCAATGTGGTCTGATCACCGAGGCCTTTCACGATTTGTGGGGTGATAATTCAACAACACCTGGATACAAAGTTCCTCGCTTGTCTACGCAAGGCGACTGCGCCTTCGCAGCTGAGACACTTGGGCAATTGAGCAATACTTTGGACAGGTTGCTTCTGGCTCAAGAGGACGATCTGACCCCTGCGGAGGCTACCTACTACGAACTACTCGGTGGTGTCTGTCTGCTGATTGAACTGTGCAGCAACGACCAACAGGCCCCCGGGGTAGTAGACCCTGTCATATCGCAATTACTCGATGCGGTTGTCGCTGGCTTGGCTGGCCTTGGCGCTAGTCTGCCCAAAGCACAAGATGAGGGCATCGAACATGTGGCGGCGACGATGCGGTCCATGCATACGATTGGCATGTGCCGTGAAGCTGCCTCTACTGTTCAGATAGCGATGAAGCTTTTGCATGAACTGCGTGAGCAGGACAAAGAGCAGGTCAACATCTTCGGTGGGCGACATCAATCGAAAGCTCTTTCAGCGAAGATTGAGTCTGTGCAGCAATCAGCAGGGACCGCAGCTACCCAGGCGCAAGATTGCATTGCATCCCTGGGCGGTTACACTGTCGATCATCTACAGAGCCACATGGACGCGTGGCTACTGCGGACCGGATGTATGAATGATAAGTCTTCGTACAAAGGCCAAGTGCGGGCAGTGGCCCGGCATCTCTTAGCGTCTGTTGGACCCTAATGAAAACAGAGGCTGCGTCGACACAGCAACAAGATTTGAATTATTCTGTCTGCTGATAGTCCCGGCATGTTTTTCCTATCCGCCGGCGGGGACCGCGCCGGCCGGGGCTGTTCTGAGCTGAGATTATAAACTCTGAGTGCTCGGGGGGCATCGTGGAGGCCAATATAAACTCATGACATGGATTGAGAGTTTCCCTGACAACGTGATCACCTTTGCTAGCTTCTCATCATGAGTACGTCTGCCACAGCCGGGCCTTCAAAAGGCAACTTTTCTCTGGATCTAGGTTGCAGTCTCCTCTCCTCAACCCAAGCCTCCACCACCACAACACTTCTAGAACCATGACGATGGGGAGACCCGAAGGGCCATCACTGTCTCAGCTGTGGTACTGGAACATCACACCACTGCAATCCACTTGTTCGGCCAATCTTCGCCATGGTGCTTTCTTTCAGATGCTTAAGGACCGTCCAGTCCAGTTGGAGGGCCCACAGCTCCCTTCCGACTTCACGCTTCCGTTCGATCAAAGCCGCTCGAGCAAGTCTACCAAATACAAAACTCTGATTCCTATCTTGGGGCATATATTTGGCATCACCAAACTCCGGGGACTTGAGAAATTGGAGCACATGTGGGGCGAAGACGACGACGACCTGGACGCGGACACTCCCCAGCTTCGAGGCCCCCCTACGTATGGCGCCAAGTTTATCGAGTCACTGTGGAAGCTCGCTTCTCACAGCTACATGGATCAGTTGGCGCATGACCCCAATGTTCCGGAGCCCAAGACTGCCGAAGCATTGTTTTTCGATTACATACTGCAGAACGCCGAAAACGTCAGCAACACCTCGTGTCTCAACTTTGTCGTGGAAATCAAAGCGGTACTGGCTGCGATCAGGCAGCTGGATGAGTTGGAATCAAAAGTCCGTTGCGTATCCTCTACATGGCGGCTTGTGAAGCTGCCCGGCCCCTGGATAGTACTAACAAGCGAGACAGGTAGACATGACCCCTTCGGGCCAGGAAACAAGGGGCAGAAGCCCACCAGAGACCCCAAACACAACTAATGATTCTTCTGGAACCACGCGTTCTAGCAGCACCCGGAAGAAAAGGAGGAGGCTCAACCGTTCTGCCAAAATCCACAGATCTATCGAGACTCCCAACACACCCAGCTCATCACAACAAACGTCGTCGCGTCCGTCCTCAGTCCGGCCCTCAAGGAAGAAAGAGAAGAAAGAGCCACGCAGAAGTCAGCCTGCGGAGACGGTCGACCTCACTCTATTGTCCCCTGAACCAGAAACACAGTCACCTGGGAGACTAGCCAAAGCTGGTGAGCCACAGGAGACGGCCTCAATACAAGGAGATCCAGGAGCCAACACCACTTCCCAACATGAGTCTCAAGGGCCCTCCTCGAGGAGCATAAGTGCCGCAGACAAGAGACATGATGAATATATGACACTAAAGATTAATCACACCAGAGCTCAATTCCAATACGGATTGGCAGTGATTCTAGAGGCTAATAGCAAGCGAACCTATTCACAGTCGGCCGTTCGCGCCTACGACGGCATGCCTATCATGCCGCTGCAGAAACGCGTCGAACTCATCTCGAAGATACAAGGCCTGCAAAGCATGCGGCGGGAATATTGTCAAGCTGAGGAATTCAGTCCAAAGCTGAATAAAGGCGACCTGGATCGAATGCTGTACAGTGTTGTCGATGAAGTGAATCTGCAGCGCGCAAAGGCCGACACTCGGAGACACGAGACCATGGAACACTTGAAGGAGATGGACGAGCTGGGTAAAAAGCGAAAGGCTAGCGGGGAAAGGGTTGAAAGATTACTCAAGCGCCTTAAGAAATGCGAGTCCCGGGAAGCTGCAGCTACGTGACCTGGGGCAGCAAGACCAACCTGGGTGTGGTCTTCTTGTGTCGTGTCACTGGACTCTCAGGGTTGCAAACTTGCCCTATTCCATCTTCACTCATTGTCACCTGTCTTTCCTACATCCCTCATTCCCTGTCTCTCTTTATCATTTCCGCTTTTCTCTCTGTTTTTTATTTGCTTTACTTGCCATAGTACACTCCTTACACCAAATAATTTTCATAGTATTTGTCACAAAGTTTTTGAGTGTCTGAATTGAGCTACGCGTGGGAGAAATGGCTTGATGCATCGTGTTATCTTTCGTTGCGAGTGAGGTTCAGCCAAAGCTTGGCTCCCTCATGTGCCTTTCCCCAGTTGCCTCCGACCTGAACATGTCACAGACGTTAATTCGAAAGAAGCCGAGCGTTCTCAGGGTGTGCTGTATTATTGCGCCCACGGAGTCGATGTTGATGTTGGGCATGGGGTAGTCGTTCTCGCGTCTATAGAGGGGCCAAGTGTTGATGGGGACCAGGATGACGCCGTCTGCGTTAAGATCATACTTGTTCTTCTCGGGATGTTTCAGCCGTTACGACAGGTCAAACGAGGGTCAGATGAGGGCATCACCGTCAGCACCCCGCTGCCATCGGCGGATTGCTCTAATACCTCGCGGTGAGAATTCGGAAGGAGCGCAAAAGGCAATCAAGGACTCAAGTTTGATAGAATGCCTGCTCCGGCTTGTGGGAGACAACGGCTGTGTCGGGTGGCCTGTAGAGTGGGTAAAAGAGGGCAGCGTTCTGGGATGTCTGGTTTCGTCCTTACCCTTGGAGGCCGTCGAAGAAGTCGGGGACCTGCGTTGTTTGAATTTTCGATACGTGCGTCCTCCAATACGTGCGGGTTCGATGTCAAGTCGCAGAAACAAACAAGCAGAAAACGCACCACGTTTGAGAATCAGGACCGTCCGACCTCGACTTTCGTACAATCCTGCGAGCCGAGTGAACATTGACAGATACCGAGGACGTCAAGCCTTTGAGGCATTACCATGCATCGACCACAGCATCATCGGTCGAGGGCTCATCAGGCAGATGGAGGGCCGTCACAGTTGAAGCAATGAACATCGCTCTCCCAGATCGTTCCTCGTTGCGCTCTGTTGGAGTGCGGTCCCCGCGACCGTTGCCATTAAGATCAGCGCAGTATTGGCACCAAGTGCTCGGGTCATAGCTGCCGTTGTGACTGACAGCTCCGACTACCTGGTACGGAGTAAACGGTCGTCGCCACGTCTCGGTCTGTCGCGGCAATGCTTGGCAGGATTGCATCGTTGTTGCCGATGCAGCCGCGAGCAACCGCAAGCGACCGCACCGGACGACTGCGAATTCCCTCGCGCTCCTCTGGTGCAGCGCGTTTGCGAATCTGCCCGCGCGTGTCATCGTGAATTTCGTCCAAACTCTACGGATGGTGTTTGGGAAATGCTCGGCGCTAGCACTTGGCGCACTCTGCGACGTCGCGAGATGTGCACCCTGATTCCTGCGGCGACAAGTGTCTCATGTGGCCCCCCCGCGATAGGGCAGACCACGGGCCAAGAGAACATCGCGACATTTGACACCTGCGACTCAGGGACTCGGGAGTACACGTCTTACATTTTGCGGTTGCAAAGGCTTGTTTGCCGGTGAGCGGGTTTCGCCCACGCACCGCTCGAATGACGCAGGCTGGAGTCCAGACGAAGCTGACAGTCGTTCAGACATAAGTAGATATGTCGTCTTCGTCCCAGCCTTCTGCGGACTTGCCAACCTGCTTGCCTTCCTGTGTTACATTCTTTCTTTTGGTCAATTTATAAGACGTTTCTTTGTTGTTTTTCGATTCTATCATTCCGCTCCTCAAAGGACTCATTTTCTCCCCAGGCTGGTTCCTGTTTCAGATACCCTTTCACGATGCATTTCACCACGTCCTTGGTCTGCCTGCTGGCTACATGTTATCCTTCCGCTGCTCACGCAACGACCCGACCAAGATCCCCCTTCACTAGGTCCTTGCAGGTCCGCCAGAACGGCGGCAATGGCCAATTGGATCCAAATGTTGTCCAGCAAGCGTCGTCCAGCGACGGCGGACCTTCGGATGGGCAGGCACCATCCGCGACGTGAGTCCATCTCCATCTCGATCAGGAGACCAGAGTCGGAGTCTAACGTTACGCCAGAGACAACGACAACTTTATCAACTTTTGCCAGGGCCAAGACCTTACCAACGGCGAGCAGAAGCAAGGCGGCTCCTGCAATGGAATCCGTGAGACCTATTTGTCAATAAGAACCTGTCCTGTAGTTCTGACAAGTGAACAGCAATGGGCAAGATCCCCTCAACGAACCGCATGGTGTCCGCCATCTTCACAAGCCCACAGAACGGCGACATCATTGCCTCTGACACAGGCTTCACCATCTCGGTCCAGATGCTGAATTTCGCCCCGGGCACATTCACGAACCCAGACAACACTTACTATGCGGCGCCTCAGGACCTCGACGGGAACGGCAATATCATCGGACACACCCACGTCACCGTCCAGGACCTGGGCGGCGACCAGAACCCGACCACGCCCCTCGATCCCACGACCTTTGCCTTCTTCAAGGGCATCAACGACCAAGGAAATGGACAGGGCCTCCTGTCTGCCGACGTCACCGATGGCCTGCCCGCGGGCAACTATCGCTTGTGCAGCCTGGTCGCCGCCGCGAACCACCAGCCCGTTATTATGCCCGTCGCCCAGCGCGGTGCACAGGACGATTGCGTGCGTTTTACCGTCTCGGATGACGGAGGCAACGACGGAGGCGACAATGGAGACAACAACGACAATGGAGACAACAACGACAATGGAGACAACAACGACAATGGAGACAACAACGACA